GCGGCCCCTCATATCGAGTCAAGGAGGCTGCCCTTGCGGGGTTCAGTGTGGCTCCGAAACCTCTACTATTTTATGAAAAGAAGTGCTTGGGAAAATCGAGCTTCTGAATGTCCCAAGTAAAATTCAGAAGCCTCTAAGTCCTAGTGTTACGACAAATTCTTAGGCTTTCATTTCAAAAAAATAGGGTTTTGGGACGTCCAGCCATCCTTAGGTGACATAATAAGACTACGGTTTATAAGACCAATGTTTGTTGGCGTCCTATACAACTGCATTATAATAAGTTGTTAGGATAAAGTTATGCGACCTAGCTTCGTCCTAACAACTTATTGTACCGCCATTGTACACGACACATAGAAGTTGGTCTCAAAGCTCAAGTCTCATTAAGTACTCTATTAGGACGCCCAATGACGATTAAGCATCCTAAAAGACCCATTTTGGTGTAGTGAAAAGTCAAACGGTACGAACATACTAACACAATTTAGTGTCGTTCTTAAAGGCATTTCCTACGGGGTATTCGAGGCTTTCAGATGCAAACAAGGCACTAATACACATAACTGAAAGTGGGAAACTTAAAGAATTAGAGGAGAAATTTCTTATCTCTGAGAAGTGTGTGGACGAAGAATTTTCTCCCCATGAAGAATCAAGGCTTAGCCCTCATAGCTTTTCGGTACTATTCGGGTTAACCGGAGGGATATCGACGATTGCTCTTGCCAGCTACATCAGCATCATCATCAGAGACTTTAAAAAATCAACTCAGGAACATACAAGTTTCATTAAACTCATATCTGCATTTATCAAAGATTTGCAACATCATATGAGAAGATCATCGAGCATAGTTGTCAACGTAGAGAATCCTAGACAAACGTGAAATGCCGATCAATGGACTCAAGATGACACGAATCATTTATAAGAGGTAGACGAGATCCCCGAACTATATATTATCAGGCTCGGATCCATTTGCAGGTATATACAACAAATTTGACATTTAGAGAAGATTTTGTTTTGTACTCCATGGTCTCAAAAGCTTCTCTGAAGGTTTTAGAGAAGCTTTTCACTTCCCTCATAAGGGTTTTTAAAGGGTATGTTTATGTTAATTTTTATCGACACTTTTTGGGGCTTTAGATACGCTTTTATAGGTTCTCTAAAGGTTGCCTAATTTTTTTACTTCTCTAAAGATATGTATTATTGACGCTTTTCAAGCTTTAGTGACAGTTCCCAAATGTCACTATAATGATGTTTTTATACCCGGTTGTTTGGTACGTTACTAAGCGTTCTTGTCGGACTTTTATGAATGGAAGTTTGACTTTATTATTTGGCGATATAATTAGTCACTGATCATACTATGTAGTCGTTTACCTAACATTTACCGAGTAAGCACTTACCTACAAGAGTCACCATTTTTATTTACCTTGTGGAGCAACATTCTTAGCCATTAAAATGGATTGTTGATAAGCGTCTTTTACCACTCAGAGCACATCTACACAATCAAATTACAATTCTTTTAGAACAAACTTGGTATTATTGTAAAAGCATATGGATGATTTAGTCAAAGCCTGGTACATGTTGACTTTTGAAGATGTCACTATATGACCCAAGTAGACATAATATTCCTTTTATAGTCACCTTTACAACACTTTCTTTTATGATCAATTCCCAATCTAGAAAACCTATTTATGAGGATGATACTGGTCCACAAGGTTTCTTTATCTCGATTAATTTATAACCAAACACTTCTTATCATATTGTATGCATTACAACAGAATTGGGTTTACAGGACGCCAAAAATTTATAATAGACCATTTTATAAGACTTAATTTACAGAACAAAAGATAAAGCATCTTATCTAAAGGCGTTGTAATAAGTTAATAGGACATTTTTATAAAAAGACATTGTATTAGCTATTATATAGGACATTGTTTGAAAAAGTGTCTTAGGGGTCGTACTTACCGGGTAATTTTCCTCACCGGATGAACATGGCAAGGGCCAAGAATCTTACCCGGTAAGAGCGATCATAAGGATGGAGAGTCTTACCCAGTAAGTGAGGGTGATGACTCTTACCTGGGTAAGAGCTTACGAGATAAATTGTTGTATAGAATAAGTTTAGATGTACTACAATCTTACCCAATAAAATAAATTATAGTGTTGACTCCTAATGTTATGCACTTACCGGGGTAAGCATTTAGGTAAACGGCCCCTTATTAAAACAAGAGTTCTATAAAAAGATGGGTTTACAGGAAACTTTTTTAGAACTGATTTATAAAATAGTTAATGCGACGCCATGTATTATAAGTGTCCTAAAAACTGGTTAAGAAGCCCAAAAACGTCCTATAAACTTATTACAACACGTTTAGATAGAACGGTATATTTTTTAGTCCTATAAATTAAGTTTTATAAAGCAGTCTATCATGACACTTAGAAATTGGTGGCGTCCTATAAATCCAATTTTGTTATAGTGAAAATTAAGTCCAAACTGAAGCAATTTGGCTGGTTTGAAAATTTTGATACGTTAATAATGTATATTAAATAACTAATAAATAACTACATGTTAGATGTTAGTACATACCATAACGATTAGTTCCTAGTGCCTATTTTGAAGCACAACGGTTTGTCCCTTGTTTCTTTTCTTCTTTGTTTTTAATCCTAGACCTCCGATCTTTTTCTTGCCATCGATTTTAAAGCAAACCAACCTAACCAAACACTGTTTACGGTCTGTCTGGATGCTCCAGCCTATCTCAGTAATATACACGAGCAATATTTTACAATATAAACCAATCAAACTGAATCTTACACATACCTGGTTTAGGTGGAGCAAGGAAGGTATAAATATATGTCTGATTTAGGATGAGCGTATGTTGACCTTTCAAATGCCATCGCTGAAAAATGATGCAGGTAGACGTAGTAAGCGGGCGTTTGGTTCGTAGAATGGAATTCGATGGAATTGGAATTCATCAAATGAATTTGACTTTGAAGGAATGGAATGGAATTTGATCATGCCTTGTGATTGCGTTTGGTTGCAAAGGAATTTATTGGAATTGAAAGAATTCCATCATTTCTATTCCATGAACCAAACATTGTATTTGGAATTTGGTCAAAGGATTTGGCCATTCCAATTCCATCCAAATCCATGAACCAAACAGCCCCTAAGATTGTAAAGTCAGAATTTACAAGGTATATGGATTAATCAGACATTTACATATAACCCATTGACCGTGCATGCCTTTCTAGAAATAAATTTCTTATAACGTTTATATGAGTATAATATCGTTCGTATAATGAGATCATGCTTACGAGTATGACTGCAATTTCCATATTGATCCACATCAATGAAAGCTGTATGGATTTCCTGCACATTTGCATCTAACCAAATCGTGTGCAATATAATGGACTTCTCTTCTAAAAGATTACCATAAATAAAAGTGGTAGCTTTTGAGATACATATATATATATATATGTGTGTGTGTGTGTATAGGGTTGGTTTTTGGTGAAAAAGAGAGTTAAAGTGAGAAGCGTAAGAAAGGATCTACACCCTTGGATGCACATTAGGATAAGATGCACCGAGATGAGATGCACCACATCAATCCCCATATCAAGCGTGATTCATGGGTGGGTTTGAGATTAAAAGTGATCAAGGATCCAGATCCCTTCTTACGCTTCTCATGTTAACTCTCCTTCTAACATGATCCTACGCCTATATATATGTATATGAATCCATGAAAAGAATAAAAGGGAATCTTATTCAGATGCATAGTTTTAAAAGTTTCCTAATCCTTTCTTTGGTTGCTTTCTTGTTGCCATACTACAAGAAAGTTGGGTTTATAGGACGCCAAAAATTTCTAAGCGTCCTAACAGACCACTTATAAGATTTAATTTACAGGACCAAAAATAAAGCGTTCTATCTAAAGCCTTTAATTAATTTATAGGATGCTTTTGGGCGTCGTAAAAAAGTGTCATATAAAATAACTAATGTGACGCTTTGCATTAAAAGTTTACTAAAAAGCTTGTAAAGATGCACAAAAGAGTCCTATATACTTATTACAAAAATGACTGCCTTTGAAAGTCACATCTTTTATGATCATTTCCCAATCTAGAATACCCATTTGACTCGCTATATATACCAATTTATGAGGATGATACTGCTCCACAATATTTCTTTATCCTGTTATTTAAGATGTTCAGTTAAGGCAATTAATTTATAACCAAACACTTCTTATCATAACTAGTTGTCTGGGTGTGCAAGATTAAGTCCAAACGGATTAAACTAAAGCAATTTGACTGGTTTGAAAATTTGAAACCTCATCATTTGGTTCATTTTCTGGTTTGAAACAAGAAACCTGTCATTTTGACACAAATAATATAGGGGTCGGTACAGATAAGAAGGTTAAATATCCTAAGAAGGTAAGAAGGGAAAGGTTCATATGTGAATAATTGAAAAAGTCCGAAAAACATATATTTGAATGTGCATATGTGAACCGACATCAAACCGAACTTACAGACATGACGAATATTCTTCGATATAAGACAATCAAACAGAACCAAATATGTACATACCTGATTAAGGTGGAGAAAGAAAGGTATAAGATGATTTCGGATGAGAAATGTTGACCTTTCAAATGTCATTAATTCCTGAAAATGACACAAGTGGATGTATTAAACATGTAAAGCCAAAACTTGCATGCCTCTCTAGAATACCATACTTTTAGTCTTCATATTTATAAAAATAAATTCGTTATAACGTTTGTATTAGTACAATATCGTTCATGTAAGTTGACCTTTTATTCAGCAAAACTAACTGACCACTTCAAAACACTTCAATAATATCATGCTTACGAGTATGACTGCAGTTTCCATATCGATCCAAATCAACGGAAGCTGCATGGAACCAGCACATTAGTGGAAAATATCTAATGGACTTTTCTTCAAAAATATTATTATAAACCAAATGGTAGCTTTTGAGATATGTATAGGAATCCATGAAAAGAATACAGGGGAATCTCATTGAGATGCATAGTTTTATAAGTTACCTGATCCTTTCTTTGGTTGCTTTCTGGTTGCCATGTTTTCTTCTGCAAGCAGCCGTAGCCACCGGAAGCTTAATTAAGCCACCAGAATTACTCAGAAACGAAACGGGGATCACTGGAATTGGTGTCATTCTTGGCCAGACTTCTAGACCTGGTAAAGAGACCAAAGTGTCGATTGAAATAGCAATTCAAGATTTCAACATAAAAGCCAATTGGTCATCGGTGTTATATTTTCAAAACTCTCTAAACAAGCCTTCTCGCACAGCTTTTGCAGGTAAATTATTCACTTCCATTGTTACAAATCGTCGGAAATAAAACTAATCATGCTTTTCTATGTAAAAAGTAGCAAATTCATAGTAAAAAGTTAAGATTTGGATCTTTAGAATCATACACATATGCTAACATGTCAGGAGGTAAAAAGTTAAGATTTGGATCTTTAGAATCATACACATATGCTAACATGTCAGGAGATAATGTGGAAATATTGCAGTGAAAGAACTTATTAACGATAATGGTGTGAAAGCTATTCTGGGGGGTCATACATGCGAAGAAGCATCTGCCATTGCCGAGGTTATTAGCGAAGTGGACGATGATATCCCACTATTTCTTTCGCTAGCTGATATGACTCCGCCACAGGCAACAGATCAATGGCCGTTTCTTGTTCAAACTGTTCCTTCCAAATCCATACAGATGAATGCAGTGGCTGCCGTTTTACAGTCATGGGGTATTCATCAAGTTACGCTCATATATGAAACCTCGCATCTTGCTTACCCATCATCATCAATCATCTCTCATCTCTCTCAGGCATTTCAACAAACAGGTTGCGAGTTAACCCTTATCTTACCACTCTCATCTGGTCCACGTTTCTTAAACAAAGAGGTTGAGGTACTCAAGAGACAAAAAAGTCGTGTCTTTATAATTCACACATCTCTTGAACTTGGGATTCGGCTCTTTCAGACGGCCAAGAAGATGGAAATGACTGGAAATGAGTATCTATGGATAGCGACTAATGAAATCACAGATCTTTTTCATTCCATTAATTCCAATGTGATTTCTTCATTAAAAGGCATGGTTGGAGTCAAAAGCTACTTCCCGGAAAACACCCCAGAATTTCTAGATTTCAGAAAAAGATTCCGTCAAAAGTTCAGTTCCGATTACCCAGAAGAAGAGCAGGACGAACCTGGAATCTTTGCCGTGCAAGGATATAACGCCGTGAAATTGTTAGGAGAAGACTCGCCTGAAATATTCCATCACTGGAAAGCAATTCCGGCCACCACAGTGGAGATTGTTAGCGTGAATGGAAAGGGATACCTAAGTGTGTACTGGACCGAAGGATTAGGATTTTCGGAGACCATTGATGGCATCCATCGAGCAACAACTTACACCCATTCTATGGATGAGGTGGAACAAGCTCTATGGCCGGTGCAACCATTGTATGCTCATAGACGCCACCGGAATCTCGCCGAAAGCTCGAAGAATCTGATGACGGTCGGCGTTCCTGAGCATTCTCTGTTTAACCAATTCGTGAAAGTGGAATTTAATCATGAGAAGAAAGAGTATGAGTTCAGTGGATTCGTAATCGCTGTGTTTGAAGAAATGATGAGAAAAATGAATCAACCATTTAAGTATCAACGCTTCAATGGTTCATATGATGATTTGATTAAAGAAATACCTAAAGAGGTCAGACCTTTTCACCATCATATATTCATGCAAACAGATCTTCTGGGATTAATACTTTTTCTTGATTTTGAGCAGACGTTTGATGCAGTAGCCGGTGACGTAACGATCTTGTCGGAAAGACACAAGTCCGCGGACTTCACCCAACCGTTCACCGAGTCGGGTTTGCAGATGATCGTACCCGTAAGATACCGAATCTCAAACCAGGCATGGTTATTCTTGAAGCCTTTCACTGCAGAAATGTGGTGGTTAAGTGCAGCAATCACCATTTACAATGGCTTCATCATCTGGTTGATAGAGAGGAAACATTCTGAAGATCTTCGAGGCTCCATCATAACCCAAATTGGAATCGTCTTTTGGCTTGCATTTACGACACTCTTCACTTTGCGCGGTAACATACAAACGTCCCTAATCATACTAACTGTGAACTGTGAACTGTTAAACTGTATCTTTTCTTGTTTTACACTAATCGTTTTAGCTCACAGGCGATAGGCTGCATAGCAATTTATCGAGGATGGCAGTAGTCATGTGGCTCTTCGTGGCACTAATCATCACTCAGAGCTACACGGCTAACTTGTCGAGCATGCTCACGGCTCAGAGGCTTGAACCAGTGATAACCAGCGTTGAGAAGCTCAGAAACATGGACGCAACAGTGGGATACTGCAATGGATTGTTTATAGGCGCCTACCTAAGGGATGTTCTAGATTTTAAGAACATCAGTGTCAAGAGTTATAACTCAACCCATCAATACGCTGAGGCCCTGAACAGTGGTGAAATCAAAGCTATCTTTCTTGACGTTCCTTCAACTAAAGTTTTTCTAGCTCAGTATTGCAAACGCTTCATCAGAACCGGAGAGACCTTCAAAGTGGGAGGTTTCGGATTCGTAAGTTTTCTTGGTCCGAATCTCGCTCATAATCCCCAGCATACAGTTTGACTTCTCACTGCAACGAAATGGTCTTTTCATAAGTGTTCTATAAAAAGGACAATAAGACGATTAATTTCTTGTGTCCTTGTCCAAATTCGTTGATAGAACTTGTTAGATAGCCTAGCTTTAAATCCATTGTATATGACGCATAGAAATTGGCCATAAAACTTAAAAGTCCCGTTTAGTACTCTATTAGAATGCTCAGACATCCTAAAAGACCAAACAACTTTGAGTTCTATACATAGTTGTTAAAAGTGTGCCCAAGGCTCACCTAGGCTCTGAGGCTTATAAGGCTCAAGGTCTTGGGCTTTTTTAAAGTCAGATGCTAGGCGTATTCACGAGTCTAACCAAGGCCCTGCGCCTTGACTGAGGCGTCTTGTGGGCCTAGGTGCGCCTCATAAATATTTATTAAATACCAAGTCAAACCCCAAAATTAAATAAGTTTTCTCATCTTTTTATCTCCTAGACTCTTAAAAAAAGAGTTATCAAGTAGATGACATAAGTCAAACCCTAATATTAAATACCCAGTTCTTGCCTGTTTCTCCATAAATACCCACACCTAGGGGTGCAAATGGCGAGTCGAGCTCGAGTATCACTATACTCGACTCGAACTCGAAACCCAATTTCCAAATCAAAGCTTTTTCTCAAGCTCGAACTCAAACTCGAATCAAGCTCAAACTAAACTCGAGCTCGAATCAAGCTCAAAACAAGCTTGAACTTGAATCAAGCTCGAACCAAGCTCACCTATTGAAATTTATGAAATTTTAGAGTCTCTCTCTTATAAATTTTAAAACTTAAAGGTGTTCTCTTAGTTTTTATAAAACTAAAGAGATCAACTTCAAACTTCATCATCAAAAAGACAAAGTTAAAAATTTCATTTACCTGCCTCTCTTTTTATAACATCTTTTCTTCCTTCTTTTACCACCTCTCCTTCAATGTGGGACAATTTCACTAACCCTTTTAATAGTTTTTCTTTGTTTTTTCTTTATTGTGATTTTAATATAAAAAAAATTTTGATTAATTTTTATAATTAAATAAATGCATAATTTTGTTTAAATATCTAAAAATATAAGACATTTTTATTATTTATGTTTTACAAATTTTATCATAAAAACTAATTATATTTTAAAACTAATTATGTATAAAATAATCGAGTATCTCACGAGCTTTCCGAGTCGAGTATTGGGTAGCTTGACTCGACTCGTTAAAATGTCGAGTTGAACTCGAGCTCGAGCCAAGCCTACTCGAGTCGAGTGTTGATCGAGCTTTGGCCGAGTCAATCTCGAGTAGCTCGCGAGTTGTCTCGTATCATTTACACCCCTACCCACACCTTAAAACTTCTCCCTCATGGCTCACGCTTTAAATCCTTCTCCCTTCTGCCTCTATCTAAGTACTGTTGGTTGCTGCACTAGAGTACTTGCTATATATTTGAGTTGTGTATAACTATGTGTGTGTATTCATATATATAACCAAAGGCTCACTCCTCGTGCCTAGGCCCTGGGGTCCCTTTGTGCGTAAGTGCGCCTTGAGCCTTTAACAACTTTGGTCCTATATAATTGTGTCACAATAAGTTATTAGGATGGAGTTGGGAGACCTAATAAGTTCTATCGACAAAGTTGGACAATCTAGTAGGACAACAGACATAAATCGCCTAACTTCTTTTGAACAACTCATTGTAACACCATCAACAGACATAAATCGCCTAACTTCTTTTGAACAACTCATTGTAACACCATTGTATAAGACACACAAAAAGTGGTCCTAAAACTTAAAAAGTCTCGCTAAGTACTCTATTAGAATACCCAAAAGATGGTTAAAAAGACTTTATTGGAATACCAAAGACGGTTAAAAACACTCATCTAGTGTTGTTCTAACAGGCATTTCGTAAGGGGTTTAATCTTTCAGACGCAAACGCAGCACTAATGGAAATGACAGAAAGTAGAAAACTTAAAGAACTCGAAGACACCTTTCTGATCTCTGAAAAGTGTGTGGATGAAGAATCTTCGCTGGATAAAGACACCAGGCTTAGCCCTCGTAGCTTTTGGGTACTATTTGAGTTAACCGGAGGGACATCAACGGTTGCTCTAGCCATCTACATCATTATCAATATCAGAGAATTTAAAAAATCTACTGAGGAACACACAAGTTTCATCAAAATCATATCAGCATTTATCAAATATTGGCAACAACTAACGAGAAGATCAAGCAAAGTTGTCAATGTAGAGAGTGATAGATACATGCGAAACGTCGATCAACGGACTCAAGATGACACGGATGGTTTAGAATTAGTCGAATTCCCTAACCGTATATATTATCAGGTTAGGATCTAGTTGCAGATATGATAATAGGTTTATTGTTGATTTTTGGCAAGTAAACTTCAGAATATACAATATGTCTTCTGTAAAGCAACTTCTGCACATAGATATTTAATGAACTTCAATGTACTTTAACTGTTGATGTTCCTCCCTTTTGGCTAAAGAAAACATAATTACGTGAATGTGCATCCCGACCTCATGAGATCCATCTCCCTGTGGCAACATGCTGTAAATCGTTCTTGTTCATGTGTTTTTTCATGGATAGAATTATAACGGATGAATGTCATGTCATGTGCTATTTAACTTGACTTGCCCTTTTATCGCTAATCTAGGTTTCTAGTTGGTGTCATGTGTTGAGGATAACTTCTACAAGACAATGCACAAAAAGTCCCAAACCAATACCAAAATGTGCAAAGATGCAACCCAATGATCAGTACAGGATATGAGGATCCTAAATGTGTCCAAATGTACCGATAAGTACAAAATGCAATCCAATTAGATATCTCAAACAATGTAAATGCAAATAAACACAAAGAACACCAAGATTTAAGGTATGATAGTGTACATCCACAGGGGAGAGATGGAGCTTGTATATATTGATGAACAAGTGGAGGAGATTACAATAGAGTTCACCTTCAGGCAAAGATCCTACAATCTGAAGGTAAAATCTCTCAAATTGACTTACATTCGACACCAAATTGCCCTAGGGAAGAGTTCTAAGCAAGCCCCCAAAACCTACCTGAAACAGTGCCTAAAAGGCTGAACAGTGGCTCCCACGACCTTAAGTCACAGGGTAGATCGCCCAAGCATCCTCCGATGTCCAGTAGCATACATCGTGGCCCTGGTCATGCGCGTCATCTGACGTCCAAGTTCGATAAGCTTCTGATGGGGGATGATGTGTATCAAAAAATCCAACATAATGTTCTCCGAGTTCAATAGCCCCCTTGGCCGGTCTACCTGAGTTTTCTGGCTTTAGTAGCACTTGCCTCATAGGTTGGCTGGTAAGATCACATATAGGGTGGGATTGGAAATATCTCCGGAAGCACCACACAACATACACAAGTGCTAGTGGCAGCTTCTCCTAGACAGGGTATTAAGTTGTAACATCGTAGGCTAATCCCACCTCAGCTATGAACAAGGAGAATGATGGGTAGGTCTGACAAGCACGTTTGAAATTTAAGGGGAGTTTGTGACAACTCACCCCACACCGGTAAAGAGCGAGCTTTGTGAGCTCAAACCTCTCAAGTTATGGGCTACCAGATAACTTCCACCATGGTTTTTGAAAAGGTGAGGCAAATCTCATCGAGGAAATGAGTTCCTAAAGGGTGTGTTTGTCACAGTTTAAGCGAATCCCACATCGCCGATGAACAGGCATCTAGGATGTTGGGTGGGTCTAACGAAGATGTCAAGAATTAAAGTAGGGGAGTTTGTGACAACTCGTCCTACATGGCTAGAGGCTGAGATTTGTGAGCTCCTTATAAAAGTTGTGGGCTATGGCTATCAATAACTTTTATCATGGTTTTAAGTTGATTTAAAAGTTGCTGGGCAGGTCCATTGCTTTGGGCTTTTGGGGCGTTACATAAGCTCTAGACCCTGATATCTGCATCTTCTCTCTCTTAGCAAGGAGTAAAGATGCACAAAAAAGCTGAAGCCCGAAGACCAGCCCCAGCCTGAGCCTAGCCTGAAAAAGTTGGGGGCTAGTGAGCCTGAAGCCCAGGCCTCAAATCCCAATCAGGCTGAAATTTTGGGGTTAGGCCCGGCCTGGAAAAGTCCAAAAATTCCCCCGGCCTTGAAATCCCGATGGGACCCTTTTTCAACCCCAAATTTGGGGCTGAGCCTAAAAAAGCCCAGACCTTTTTGTTTCTAATTGAAAACGGGCTTGGAAGGACGAGTGTGCTGATTCCTTCTTCTGTTGCTGCCAAGTTGAGGATTCTAAACCTTGAATTTCTTTTGTAGAACCTGGAGAGACTAAGTCGATGATCGCTTGTACTTTCTTTGGATTTGCTGCAATCCTGGCCTTGTGATCACGTGGCCTAACAACTTTTTTACTTTCCACTTCTTCGGGTTGAGTTTCAAGTTAACCTGCTGCAGGGTCCGCAACTCTCTTCAAATCGATCAGAAATGAGGCTGCCATCGTCTCTAATATCGACTACCATCTCATTGATGTAAAATTTCATGTTTCAGTCAATCTGGTCCTCAAAGGCTCCATTTGAACCTCATTACACCTATTTATATATGATGTTGATATCAGTCCACATTGTTCCTTTACTTTTTTGTTATTGTAATAGGGTATTTAAAAATTTATTAATAGTCGACCTTTTCTACAAAATTATCTACAATTAATCAAATTACAATTCTTTTGGAACAAAACTAGTATTAATGTAAAAAGATATGGATGATTAGTCAAAGCCTGGTACATGTTGACTTTGAAAATGTCATCATCGAAAATGACCAAGTCTAGACATAAGATGCCTTTTAAAGTCGCATCTTTTATGATCAATTCCCAATCTAGAATATACCCATTTAAGATTTCACTCACTATACCTATTTAAGAGGATGATATTGGTCCACAAGATTTCTTTATCTTATTATTTAAGATGTTTAAGGCAATTAATTTATAACCAAACACTTCTATCATAACTAATTGTATGAGTGTGCACGATTAACGGGCCATTTACCAAACTCTTTAAGTCTTAGCGGTAAGCACTTACAGGGCGTCACTTATCAAACCGTCAAATCGACCGAATAAAAAAAATTGTCTCTTTGGCTGATCAGGCTGATCCCAGTAATTTGACTGGTTTGGTTTGTAAAATTGTGAAACCAAACTTACAGATATGACGAATATTTTACGATATAAACCAATCAAACTGAACCGTATACATACCTGGTTTAGGTGGAGAAGCAAAGGTATGAATATAAGATGATTTAGGATGAGAAATGTTGACCTTCAAAATGTCATTAATTACTTAAAATGACACAAGTGGACGTATTAAGCTTGTAAAGTCAGAACTTGCAAGTTATATAAGAATTAATCAGACATTCGCATTTCAAAAATTGACCATGCATACCTCTCTAGAATACCGTACTTTTAGTTTCACATTTATTAAAATAAATTCATTATAACGTTTATACAAGTCTAATATATATCGTTCGTATAAATGAGATCATGCTTACGAGTATGACTGCAGTTCCCACATCGATCCACATAGATGAAAGCTGCAAGAAATTTCCTGCACATTAGTTCTCAACCAAACCGGGTGCTATCTAATGGACTTTTCTCACAAAAAGGTCATTATCACTCAAAATGGTAGCTTTTGAGACATATATAGGAAACCATGAAAAGAATAAAGGGGAATCTCATTGAGATGCATAATTTTAAAAGTTACCTGATGGTTTCTTTGGTTGCTTTCTTGTTGCCATGTTTTCTCCTAACCACCGGAAGCTTAGCAGTGCCACCAGAAGTCAGAAACGAAACAGGAACTGCTAGAATTGGTGTCATTCTTGGCCAAACATCTAGACCTGGCAAAGAGGCCAAAGTGTCGATCGAAATAGCAATTCAAGATTTCAATATCAGAACCAATCGGTCATCGGTGTTATATCTTCAAAACTCTCTAAACAAGCCTTCTCGAGCAGCTATTGCAGGTAAATTATTCACTTCCATTGCCACATATCGTCATATATAAGATCAATCATGCTTTTATATGTAAAAGTTAGCAAATTCGTATTAAAAAGTTAAGCTTTGGTTCTTTAGAGTCGTACCCATATGCTAACATGCCAGGAGATAATGTGAAAATATTGCAGCGAAAGAACTTATTGACGAACATGGTGTGAAAGCTATTTTGGGAGCTCATACATGTGAAGAAGCATCTGCCATAGCCGAGGTTATCAGCGAAGCTGATCATGATATCCCACTATTTCTTTCGCTAGCTGATACGACTCCATTGCAGGCATCAGATCAATCGCAGTTTCTAGTTCAAGTTGTTCCTACCCAATCCACACAAATGAATGCAGTGGCTGCCATCTTACAGGCACGGGGTATTCAGCAAGTAACTCTTATATACGAAACCTCCCATCTAGCTTCCCCATCATCATCAATCATCTCCCATCTCTCTCAGGCATTTCGACAAACAGGTTCCGAGTTAGCCCATACCTTACCATTCACATCTGGTTCATGTTTCTTAAACAAAGAGCTTGAGGTACTCAAGAGACAAAAACGTCAAGTCTTTATAATTCACACATCTCTAGAACTCGGGATTTGCCTCTTTCAGACTGCCAAGAAACTGGAAATGACCGGAGATGGGTATTTATGGATAGCGACTAATGAAATCACGGATCTTTTTCATTCCATTAATTCCACCATGATTTCTTCGCTGAAAGGCATGGTTGGAGTCAAAAGCTACTTCCCGGAAAACACACCGGATTTTCTAGATTTCAGAAAAAGATTCCGTCAAAAGTTCCGTTCCGATTACCCAGAAGAGGAACAGGACGAACCTGGAATCTTTGCTGTGCAAGGCTATAATGCCGTGAAATTGTTAGAAAAAGACTCACCTGAAAACTTCCATCACCGCAGACCGATTCCGGCGACTACAGTGGAGATTGTTAGCGTGATTGGAAAGGGATATCACAGTATATACTGGACCAAAGGATTAGGATTTTCGGAGACCATTGATGACATCAATGGAGCAACAACTTACACCCATTCTATGGATAATGTGGGACTGTGGCCGGTGCAACCATGGTATGCTCATAGACGGCACCGGAATCTCGCCGAAAGCTCGAAGAATCTGATGACGGTCGGCGTTCCTGGTCAATCTCTGTTTAACCAATTCGTGAAAGTGGAAGTTGATTCAGAAAGAAATCGTACTTCGATCAGTGGATTTGTAGTCGCTGTGTTTGATGAAATGATGAAAAACATGAGTCAATCATATGTGTATAAACCCTTTTTTGGTTCATATGATGAATTGATTGAAGGAATACATTCAGAGGTCAGATCTTTTCACAATCATTATTCATGAAAGCAAATCGTTTCTTGGTTAATTTCTTTTCTTGGTTTGAAGCAGAAGTTTGATCACATATTATCATCTGGGATTAACTTCTTTTCTCGATTTGTTGCAGAAGTTTGATGCAGTAGCCGGTGACGTAACAATCGTGTCAAGAAGACACGAGTTTGCAGATTTCACGCAACCGTACACCGAGTCGGGTTTGGAGATGATCGTACCCGTTAGACCCCGGATCTCAAACCAGGCATGGTTATTCTTGAAGCCTTTCACTCCAGAAATGTGGTGGTTAATTGCAGCAATCACCATTTACAATGGCTTCATCATCTGGTTGATAGAGAGGAAACATTCTGAGAATCTTCGAGGTTCCGTTATAACCCAAACTGGAATCGTCTTTTCGCTTGCATTTACCACACTCTTCACTTTGCCCGGTAAATACAACGTTCTCAATTTCCCTTTGGTGGTATCTTTGCTTGTTGTTGACGCTAATCGTTTTTGCTCACAGGGGAAAGGTTGCATAGTAATTTGTCGAGGATGGCAATGGTCGTGTGGCTGTTTGTGGCACTAATCATCACGGCGAGCTACACGGCTAGCTTGGCGAGCATGCTCACAGCTCAGAGACTCGAACCAACGATAACCAGTGTTGAGACGCTCAGAAACATGAACGCAACGGTGGGATACTGCAATGGGTCGTTTATAAACTACTACTTGAAGGAAGTTCTACATTTTGAGGATGTCAAGGTCAAGAGCTATAACTCAACACATCGATACGCAGAGGCCCTGAATGGTGGTGAAATCGCTGCTATCTTTCTTGAAGTTCCGGCGGCTAAAGTTTTTCTAGCTCAGTACTGCAACAGCTTCATCAGGACTGGAGAGACATTCAAAGTTGGAGGTTTCGGATTCGTAAGTTCTCGTGATCTAAATATCCGTCATAATTCCCGTACAGTTTGACTTTCACCGCAACAAATTGGGTTTTTAAGTACGTCTAGCCATTCTTAGGTGACTTAATAAAGTACTTAATAGAACTTCAGGTTATAAGACCGATGTCCATGTGTCCTATACAATGGTGTTATAATAACTTGTTAGAATGAAGTTAGGACTTTAGAAGTTCTATCAATAAAGTTGGACGATCTAATAGGATACAAGAAATAGACCGCCGTATTAGCCTTTTTATAGGACAATCTTGAAAAGTGTCCTTAAAAAAGGCTAATAGGACAGTTTTCATAAGTTCATGTTCTGTCTATTTGTGTAATTGGATTCAGAAGAAATTACAGTAACTAGTTAAACTACAACACGGGCTAGGAGGTGTGAAGTGCACACTCATGTAAGTTAACTAGAACCCGGGAGCCCTGGATGACGCCTTATGGCGGGGTTCTAGGGGCGGCCCCCCTGGCACAGGTGGTTAACAGTGGGTATTTATATGTGTTTACAAACACCAACAAATGATGCATCAGATGGTTACTCATCAGCGGGTGAAACTACCCATGATGTGCTATTAGCTGATATGATCAGCTGATGGTTACCCACTGACAGTTGATCAGCTGATGGTCATCGGTTGATCAGTTCTCTAACTGCTATTTTTCATAACCGCTCATTACTTATTTTCAGCAATCATTTTTATTTAATGGGGAGTTATTTTAGGTATTAATGTAGGAATGGTTACGATTCTCTAAGTTTATGCTTTCCTAGAGATAGTTTCGTGATACCCTGGCAGATTTGTGTCGAAAGATGACTTAAGGAAAGCAAACTCTCACGCCATCTCAAGTTTGATTAAGACTTTTTACTCACTGTTTCTCTGTATTCTCAAATATACCAATCTTGCAACAAGTTCCATATAAAAATTCTAATTAAATTGCCCAAATTCATCAATAGAACTTGTTAAGTCGTCTAACTTTGTCCTAACAACTTATTGTAACGTCATTCTGTAAGATGCATAGAAATTGGTCTTGAAACTTAAAAGTCCCGTTAGAGACCCATTTTTTTGTAGTGAATAGCCAACCCCGTGCTAGACTATAGGATGCGCAAGGATGGTTGCTCGTTCTAAAAGCACCCATTTTGTCGTGGTGATTAATCAAACAACATGCTAACATGATCCAGTGTTGTTCTTTCAGGCATTTCCTAGGGATTTTCCAAGGCTTTCAGACGCAAACAAGGCACTAATGCACGTAGCAGAAAGTGGGAAACTTAAAGAACTCGAGGACGCCCATCTTATCTCCGAGAAGTGTGTGGACGAAGAATCTTCACCCGATGAAGAATCTAGGCTTAGCTTTCGCAGCTTTTCAGCACTATTCATGATAACCGGAGGGACATCAACAATTGCTCTAGCCATCTACATCATGATCAGCATCAGAGAATTCAAAAAATCTACTCAGGAACACACAAGTTTCATCAAACTGATATCGGCATTTATCAAAGATTGGCAACATCATATGAGAAGATCATCAAGCATAGTTGTCAACGTAGAGAGTGGTAGACATACGCGAAATGCCGATCAATTGACTCAAGATGACATGGATGGTTTATAAGAGGTAAGCGAAACCCTTATCTGTATATTATCAGGTTAGGATCTAGTTGCAGATAGGATCATAAGTTTATTGTTTGATTCTTGATAAGAGAACTTTAGACTATACGATTTCATAAGATGTATTCGGAGACCCTGAACTGTATATTATCTGCTTGGGATCTAGTAGCATTGTAGCAGGTATGATCATAGCTTCATTGTCGATTCCTGGCGAGTAAAACTTCAAAAACTGTACAGTTTCTGTTCTGTAAAGCAAATTATGCACATATATATTCAATAAACGTCAATGTACATTTTAGCTTTTATCGATGTCCAATATCAACCATATATGTTTTCTCCAACATCATCTTCTTCCATTAATCATCATCTAATTCAATCAAACTAATATGGTATCAGAGCCGGGTTCTAGCACCACCTAGGGACTTGACACACTCTTTCCTCTCCATTCTCTGAGCCACCATCTAGCCTCCATTTGGCGTGTGGTTGGGGGGGTGTTGGAGTCCCACGTGGGCTAGACATAGAACATCAAACCTGTATATATGTAGGAACTACCCCTCTTTCTATAACCGCCTTTTAAAGAGAATTCAAAGAGGTTCTACCTATCCTAGTATGGTATCAGAGTCAGGGTCTACATCTAGGGACTCGACACACTCTTTCATCTTCATTCTAGGACGCACCATCTAGCCTCTGTTTGAGGGGACGTGTTGGAGTACCACTTCGACTAGACACGGACAAACATGTGCTTTCTACTTTGCACTCTGAACATGCACTTCTTCAGGTTGAGTTTCATGTTAATCTGCTGCTGCAGGATGCAAAACGTGTCTCTAATATCAGAAATGAGGTTTCCATCATTTCTAATTTTGACTTCCATGTCATTGATGTTGGCAATTTTTTGGCGGCATCAATGATTTTAGTGGAGTTGTGATTTACACAAGATCAACGAGGTTTGAGTTAAGGTATAATAAGGGTTAGGAGGTGCGGAGTGCACACTCTTAGTAAGCTAACTCTCAAACGTGAGATTGCCATAAAGCATGGTTCAAGGAGTCGCGTCCCCTTGCAGGGTCCAGGGCAGCGCCTCGAAACCTAAACGTATGCACCAAGCGTTATTCTGAAAGCAAAGATCAGAAGGCCAAGGCATGTTCGGAAAGCCATCTGAACTTAGAAGGCCAATTCCATAAATCTAAACCTGGAGTTCAGAAAGCTGGTTAATGGATTTAGAAAGCTAAGTATTAACTTCAAAAAGCAAACCCTCAAAAGACTAAGGGGCCATTTACCAAACGTTTACCGAGTAATATTACCTTAATCAATGAATATGGTAAAGACCAAGAACTTTACCCAGTAAGAGCGAAGGTAATGACCTAGAATCTTACCCGGTAAGTGAAGGGCTCTTACCCGGTTAGCGCTTACCGGTTAATTTTTGCATAAGATGCCGTTTTAATGGACTAAAATCTTACCCGTTAAGGTAAGTGATAGTATTAAATTTACCCGGTAAGCGCTTACCGGGTAAATGTATAGGTAAACGGCCCCTAACTTCTGAAAGTCTGATCTGATGCAACCAGTTTTTGATCTCATCCATTAGCAGTTATTTTGGTAGTTGTTCTTAACTTCAAATAACTACCTATACCCACCTAATTTAACTGTCGTTCAGCTACTCTTACAAGTAGTTTTCAATCTCAAATTTTGAATGTCTGGAAAACACAACAGAATCTGTGTTTTATTCTGGATTTTGCCTAAAACCTAGAGTATGAATTTGGATTATCCCGAAGTCAATTTCGTGTAACCCGAGGCTGAAATAGGGACGAAATATTACTTACGGAAAGTGATTATGTTCACGATCCAGATTTTGATCCAAGTCTTTTGATCGATACATCAATTCCCCAGTTTTCCAATAATTGATGTATATATCATTATTATAGGGTATTTAAATATTTATTAATAGTCAACCCTTTCTACACAATCAAATTACAATTCTTTTGGATGATTTAGTCACAGCCTGTTACATGTTGACTTTTGAAAATGAAACAAGTAGATATAAGATGCCTAATAAAGTCAGACCATTTCAAGAGTTTGAATGAGTAACGAGACTACCCTAAATTTCCTTGCATGTTAAGCCATTGACCAAAGCTCTCCAGGCTGACATTCTCTTACTCATATTTATTAGAACCCTTTTTGTTAAAACAGTTACTCCTTCCACTTCAAATAACTGTCTACATTTCTATTTATGTTTGTTCAAATATAAGTGTCCAGCTTCAAAAAAAGATGACTAAACTTTCAAATCTACCCTTAACTAATGCACAAATATTCAAGAGTCAATAAGATAGATGAATAAATTAAAGGGTAAAGTTGTCATTTGGTCAACTAAAAAGTGTAATAATTATGCATGTCTAAAATTGTCTGCCAATTCTATTGTGGACACTTATTTTGGACGGAGGGCAGGGGTGGACCCACTCTATTGGATACGGTGGCTCAGGCCACCACTTTGTTCCTCCATCGTAGTGTAAAAAATTATAGGGTCGTGAAAGGTGACAGTGTATCATTTTGTTTGTGTGCAATCAAATATATTTTGAAACTACGATGATGACATGAGTTTCCCTAGGTCAAGTTGGTTTGCATGGCTTTTCTCCCACCCTGGGTGAGTTTCCAAATCTTGTTTGTGTCATTTTCTTAGGTTTTTAGCTTTTAATTTCAGATTTATTATGTTTCTAATTGTAATAATAGACTCCAACACGTGACCCCATATACGAGAAACAAAGAACTAACCAATAGACTATTGATGATGTTATGGAAAATATTTGTATCATTGTTTCTTATAGTCAAATGGTGCCACCACTTGAAAAAATTTCTAGGTCCGCCTGTGACGGAGGGGGTACATTAGTATAACATCAAACTAAAAGTACCATGCATATCCCACTTGAAAGGTCTCGGAAGGGTAGGCAGACTGTTTCCGTGAAAAAACATAATATCATTCGTAAAACGATTAGAAAAAAAGTGAGATATAATGTTTTTGTGTGCGATATACGACATGGGTCCACATAAGTGCAAGCTGCAAGCAATTTCTTTCTTGGAAGAATTGTCATATACGTGTGATGGACTTTTGATTACAAAAAGATTATTATAAATTGAAATGATCAAATGATTAGGAGAATATGCAACAACTTTTGAGACATATATGAATCAAAGAAAGGAATAAAGAAGAATCTCACTAGAAATGGATAATTTTGCAAGTTACCTCATCTTTTTGGTTGCTTTCTCGTTGCCGTTGTTTCTTCTGCAACCATCCCCGACCATCGGAAGCTTGAGTGCAGTCACGGAGATCGCAAGGATTGGTGTCATTCTTGACCAAGCATCTAGACCTGGGAAAGAAGCCAAAGTGGCCATTGAGATAGCAACTCAAGATTTCAACATCAATGCCCATCAGCTTTCAGTTTTCCACTTTCAAAACTCACGAAACAAGCCTGTTCACACTGCTATAGCAGGTAAATTAATGATTTCCTTGATTTCAAGTATACCCAAATGATAGTAATTGATATTTGTTCTAAAAACATGGCAAAATCATAATAAAGAACTTCAGTTTGGTTCTTTAGAATCATACCTGTATGCTAACATGCCAAGATATAATGTGGAAATGCAGCAAAAGAACTTCTTGATAAACACAGTGTGAAAGCCATTTTGGGAGGTCATACATGGGAAGAAGCATCTGCCATAGCTGAGGTTATCAGCAAAGCTGATCATGATATCCCACTATTTCTTTCGCTAGCTGATACGACTCCATTGCAGGCATCAGATCAATGGCCGTTTCTAGTTCAAGCTGTTCCTACACAATCCACGCAGATGAATGCAGTGGCTGCCATTTTACAGTCATGGGGTATTCGTCAAGTTACGCTCATATATGAAACCTCGCTTCTAGCTTCCTCATCTTCATCAATCATCTCCGACCTCTCTCAGGCATTTCGACAAACAGGTTGTGAACTAACCCATATCTTGCCACTCACATCTGGTTCATGTGTCCTAGATGAAGAGCTTGAGATACTAAAGAGACAGCAACGTAAAGTCTTTGTAATGCATACATCTCTGGAACTTGGGGTTCGCCTGTTTCAGGCAGCCAAGAAGATGGAAATGACCGGAGACGGGTATCTATGGATAGCAACCAATAGAATCACTGATCTTTTTCATTCTTTTAATTCCACCATGACTTCTTCTTTGAAAGGCATGGTTGGAGTCAAAAGTTACTTCCCTGAAAACACGCTGGAGTTTCAAGATTTCAGGAAAAGATTCCGTCAGAAGTTCCTAGCAGATTACCCAGAAGAAGAGCACCAAGAACCTGGAATTTTTGCCGTGCAAGGATACAATGCCATGAAATTGTTAGAAAAATATTCACCCGGAAACTTTGATAACCGGAGACCACTTCCGGAGAGTACAGTGGAGATTGTTAACGTGATGGCAAAGGGGTATCACAGTGTGTACTGGACCGAAGGATCAGGGTTTTCGGAGACCGTTGATGGTGACATTAATGGAGCTACTGCTTACACCCATTCTATGGATAATGTGGGACAAGCTCTGTGGCCGGTGCAACCATGGTATGCTCGTAGACAGCACCGCAATCTAGCCGAAAGTTCATGGAATCGAATGAGGGTTGGCGTTCCTGCTCAATCTCTGTTCAAGCAATTCGTGAACGTGGAATTTGATTCCGAGAAGAATCAAACTGTGATTGGTGGATTCGTAATCGCTGTGTTTGATGAAATGATGAAACAAATGAATCTGCCATATGACTATGTTCCATTCTATGGTTCTTATGATGAATTGATCAGACAAATACCTGCAGAGGTCACCATCTTGACAACTCTTTTCTTTCCCAAAAATATATAAAAAGTTCAAAACTGAACCACAATTCGCCAGATTCATCCCAATGTGATCATGCACGTAATGGATAAAATCTGATATTTTGGTTCAATCTGCAAAAAAAAAAATTGTACGAGTTATTCTGTCATTGATTCCCTGTTCTATTCTTTTCTTGAAATGGAGCAGAAGTTCGATGCAATAGCAGGTGATGTAACGATTGTGTCAAGGAGGCATGAGTATGCAGACTTCACGCAACCATACACGGAGTCGGGTTTGGAGATGATCGTGCCCATTCGATCCCGATTATCAAACCAGCCATGGTTGTTCATGAAGCCTTTCACTGCCAAAATGTGGTGGTTAATAGCAGGAATCACCCTATATAATGGCTTCATCATTTGGTTGATCGAGAGGACCCATTGTGACTATCTTCAAGGCTCCATTATAACCCAAATCGGAATCATCATTTGGCTTGGATTTACAACACTCTTCACTTTGCGAGGTAGCATACAAACTTTCATCGTGATGGCTAATTTTGTTTCAGGATGGCTCTTTTGGAGAGTAATCTGATGGGGTTCCATATATCTGACACACGCAATCATTTTCGCTTGCAGGGGATGTGCTGCATAGCAACTTGTCAAGAATGGCAGTGGTTGTGTGGCTCTTTGTGGCCCTAATCATCACCCAAAGCTACACGGCTAGCTTGGCAAGCATGCTTACGGCTCAAAGGCTCGAACCAGCAATAACCAGCGTTGAGGCGCTCAGAAACATGAATGCAACTGTGGGATACTGCAATGGATCATTTATAAACTACTACCTGAAGGAAGTTCTAGATTTTGAGGACGTCAAGGTCAAAAGCTATAACTCAACCCATCGATACGCTGAGGCCCTCAACAGTGGTGAAATTGCCGCTATCTTTCTTGAAGTTCCGGCAGCTAAAGTTTTTCTAGCTCAGTACTGCAAGAGCTTCATCAGAACTGGAGAGACATTCAAAGTTGGAGGGTTTGGATTTGTAAGTTCTCTTGTTCCAAATTCTTCATGATTTCAATGCAGTTCGACTTTTGAGGTCAAATGAACCAGTTTTACAAATTTGAAACAGAGGCGAAAGAGTGTTTCAAGTTCCTAGATGTGGTAGATCCTGGCTCTAATGTCATGTGAGGATATGTGAAACCTATTTGAATCTCTCACTAAAAGAATTCTTATAGGGAGATTGAGAGGTTTCTACACATATATAGGGTCATGTTCAGGGAAAATTGTAAAAAAATGGAACATTCAGGAATATCCTATAACCGTTCATCCGGACGATATGCACATGTGCATACAAGTAATTTGTAAGAAATTTGTCCGGTATGCACATGTGCATAAAACCAAGAAACAACTTCAGTTACTTGTATGCATATATGTGCATACCGTCCAAATGAACAATTACCAAGTGTTCCTTAGTTTTTCATTTTTTGGGGTTGTCCTCTTAACCTCCCTCTATATATATACAGGTTTGATGGTTTGTGCCTATTTGATGTGGGACTCCACGGGAGTATTTTATATCTGAAAAGTCAAACTGCATTGTTTACGGACGTACTAACAAAACATGGTGTTATACTCACAGGCATTTCCTAGGAAATTTTCATGGCTTTCTGATGCAAACAAAGCTCTAATGAATGTATCAGAAAGTGGGATGCTCAAAGAACTCGAGGACGCCTTTCTTATATCTGAAAAGTGCGTGGATGACGAATCTTTTCCTAACGAAGATGAGAGTCTTAGCCCTCGCAGCTTCGCAATACTATTTGAGTTAACCGCAGGGGCATCAACGCTTGTTCTTGTCATGTACATCATCATTAGCATTAGACAATTTCATGAATCTCATCCAGAAATCACGAATTTCTTCCAACTGATATCAGCATTTATAGCAGACCAATGGCATCAAATGAGGCAGTGACCTAGCACAGTTGTCAGCGCCGAAAGCCCCATACACCCTCCAGATGTGTCTGATTCATGGACTACAAGAAGGATCCTGGCAGTATATTTATCATGTTAGAATCTGGTAGCATATATGTTCCTCGATTGATCGTCCATTCTAAGAAAACTTTAAAAATATGTACAACTTTTTTCGATGAATGTAACTTCAATATACCTGTTAGGTTTTTTTATTAAAACTGTTTGGTTTCTTTTGGTTTTCTAGTGTGTCTCCATGCTTGTTTCTAGACCACAACACTATTTGATCTAGAAACCCTTGTAATTAGTTCATATTGCATGACTTCTTCCCTAGCTTCACATTTCTCATGCTTACTCGAAATGAATCTCCATATATTTGGTCTTTCAACTAGTGGGGATGGAAACGAGGGGAGTAATTTATCCCTCGTCCCCGACCCTGCCATGACTAATCCCCGACGGTTCAGGAGGGAGGAATCTCCGGCGGGTTCGGGGAACCCTTTGGGTACTTGTATAGTAGAAACAATGTATTTCAAAATTAAAATTATAACAAATTTTCACTACATTTATTACCAATATTGAAAATCAAATATATCTGTCACTGAATAATAAACGTTTACATATATACTTATATATTTATTTATACACACAATATATACACATATTAAATAAAATAATCAGGTTCGGATTAGGGGCGGGTAATGCCATCCCCATCCCCAACCCTGCTCCAGTATGAAAACAAATCCCCCTCCCCTCCCCTTTACCCATCAAACCAGGGAATCCCCGCCCCGTCAGGGTCGTGTACCCTCCCCAATGGATAAATTTTCCATCTCTAGCTCCAAGGCACACTACAAAAATGAAGAGTATCAGTAAGGGAAAATTCCCTCGCTGATCTGTCGCTAAAAGGGTCTTCCATCGCTGATCCATAGTTGATCGTTCGTCGGTCAAAAGCTCGTAGGTAATACTATCAGCGAAGGAACTGGATTTTGCCAATTCCCTCGCTGATCCCTCGTTGATCAGCGAGGGAACTAGTTTTTGCCAATTCCCTCGCTGATCAGCGAGGGATTTTTCCGTCACTGGTACTTTGTTTTCTAGTAGTGGGTGCAGATTGCCAACTTCTATCTGGAAATAAGGGCTTCATATTATGCTTCATCTGTTAGAGGCTATGAAGCCAAAACGTAAAGCAAATGTGAGAGCGCTCAGGATTATCATCGCACCCATTATTGGGCTTGAAGCACCATCTGTGAAAATTGTGACGAATCCTTTGTTGGTTCTTTAAGCTCTTTCACACTAGATGGAAGAGTTGTGCCATCTTTGGGGTTTCCCCAGAAAATTGGCAAGGACTTGCCCTTTTTTCGCTAATCTAGGCTTCTAACTGATGTCATGTTCCCCGAGTTCACTTGCCCACTTGACCAGTACCTGAGTTTTCCGGCTTTAGTAGCACTTATCGGATAGGCAAGTCGGTAAGAACACATATTTGGTGCGATTGACAATATCTCCGGATGCGCAAGAACCACATTTACTGGTGCTAGTGCCAACCTCTCCTAGACAGGATTAGTTAAGCTGTAAAATTGTAGGCGAATCTCACATCACCGATGAACAAGGAGATGATGGATATGTCTAACAAAGACGTTAGAAATTTAAGTGGGAGAGCTTGTGACAACTTTTCCCACACAGGTAAAGAATGAGATCTGTGAGCTTCTTATAAGCCTCAAGCTATGGGCATCCAATAACTTCCACCATGGTTTTAAGTTGATTTAGAAGTTATTGAGATAGTCCATTGTCTTGGGCTTTGGTCGTTACAACTGGTATCAGAGCCAATCATTGTACCATCAGGATGGTGAAGCAAACATCATCAAGGGTGAAGAGTTCCCAAAGGGGTGTTTGTAACATCTTAGGCGAATCCTACATCGCCAATGAACAAAAAGGATGTCAGGTAGGTCTAACGATTCTTCAAGGACTGAAATGGCGATTCCGCTTCATCACTCCATTTGAAGTCTTTCTTGTTGACACACCCTTTTAAGAGACTTGAAGAAAGGTAGTGACCTCGCAGCCAATCTAGATAGAAACCGTCCTAAAGCCACTAACTTTACATCTTACCCTTGAATTTCTTTTATAAAACCTGGAGAGGCTAAATCGATGATCACTTGTACCTTCTTCAGACTTGCTGCAATCTTGGCCTTGTGATCAAGTGGCCTAAGAACTTTTTACCTTCCACTTTGAACGTCCATTTCTTCGGCTTGAGTTTCATATTAACCTGCTGCTGGGTGCAGAACGTATCTTCGATATCAGAAATGAGGCTGCCATGTCAACGATATAAATATCAATGTTCCTGCCAATATAGTCCTCAAAGGCTCCATTTGACCCATAAAATCTATAAAGTTCACAAACTTCCTTTATGGCGAATTTTCAATCTAGAATTACAGGCTAACGCGTTACACCTATTTACGTAGGATGTTGATCAGTCCACGTTGTTCCTTTATTTTGTTATTGTTATAGCTTATTTAAATACTTATTAATAGTCAACCCTTTTCACACGATTATCTACAAGCAAATTACAATTCTTTTGGAACAAAAATCGGTACAAGTTGACATTTGAAAATGTCATTGCCCAACATGACACAAGCATACATAAGATGCCTTTAGAAGTCAGAACTTTGCAGGAGTTTGAATAAGTAACAAGACTAATTGAAATTTCTTGGCATTTTAAGCCAGCCATTGACATTGTTTTACTCGTATTTATTAGAAATTTGTTGTTAAAACAGTTATATTAGTATAACATGAAACCAAACCAAAAGTACCCATTATGTCCTGCTTGAAAGTTGGGTGTGGGACCTTTCCTCTAACCAAGAGGCAGAGAGACTGTTTCCGTGAAGACTATAATATGATTCGTAAGATGAGAAGAATAAAAAAGTGAGAAATTATGTTTTTGAGTTTGATTTACGACATGGGTCTACATCAGTGTAAGCTGCAAGCAATTTCTTGCTTGGGAGAACTTCGATAATTCATGGACTTTTGATGACAAAAAGATCATTATAAGTTGGAATGCTCAAATGCTTAGGAGAATATTCAACAACTTTTAAGACATATATGAATCACAGAAAGGAATAAAGAAGAATCTGAGTGGAGATGAATAATTTCGCAAGTTACCTGATCTTTTCGGTTGCTTTCTCCTTGCCGTGGTTTCTTCTGCAACCATCACCGGCCGTCGGAAGCTTGAGTTCAGTCACAGAGATCGCAAGGATTGGTGCCATCCTTGACCAAGCATCTAGACCAGGGAAAGAGGCCAAAGTGGCCATTGAGATAGCAACTCAAGATTTCAACATCAATGCCCATCAGCTTTCAGTTTTATATCTTCAAAACTCTCAAAACAAGGCCGTCCATGCAGCTATTGCAGGTAAATAACTGATTTCCATTATTCCAAGTTGTCCCAAGTGATGGTAATTATTATGTCCTAAAAGATAGTCCATCTTCATTAGTAGAACTTGTTACGTCACCCAACTTGGTCATGACAACTTACTGTAACACAATTCATAGAATGCATAGTCGTTGGTCCTAGAACTTAAAAGTCCCATTAAATACTCTATTAGGACCACCCAATGATTGCTGGTGATTTTAGTCTCCTCAACCATTTGGTGTAATTTTGATTTACATGAGATCGATTAAAGTGATAAGGCAAACAAAGTGGAGTTAGGAGGTGCAAAGTGCACACTCACAGCACCTTAGATCACTGAAAGACGGGGGTTAGGGGGCAGAACCCCCTTGCACGATCCTAGGGGCAGCGCCCCTGGTGGTGGTTTGGACTAATTTTAGAGATGTTGCGGGATGATCTAGACTAATTTTAGGAGGTTGGAAAACTCCTTGAAATTGCTCTCGAACTTGGTGGAATTTCACTAAGTTTAGTTCTGAGGTAGTGTGATCAGAACTCTAACTTTCTTGATCAGAGTTCCGAGTTATTGCTGAAATTTTTGAGTCTGGATCAGAGTTAGAGCAATCAGAGCTCTGAACTATTTAATCAAAGTTCTGGTCCATAGAATCAGAGTTCTGAACCAAAGAAATTTGACTAAGTCCAATATAGAGCAATCAGAGTTCGGACCATGGAACCAGAGCATGCTCTGGATGTTACCTCTGATTTTGATATAACTGCTCCCAAACCTTAACCATTGACGATTATAACTGCTACACAGTTATATTTTAACCGCCAGTAACCGTCAATCTCTCATATAAATACATAACACGTGGTCTGGTGAATATATTCGAATATATTAGTGTGTGTGTATATATATTCACCAGACCACGTGTCATGTATTTATATGAGAGATCGACGGTTTATATATATATATATATATATATTCACCAGACCACGTGTTATGTATTTATATGAGAGATCGACGGTTTATAGATACGAATTTGTGCCTTAATTCGTGTATGAAGTTTCTGTATTATCCCAGTACTAATTTAGTGCAAACCCAAGGCGTAATAGCGGCGAAATATAGTATTTGGAAAGTGTTTTTTCAATACGCGATCCATAAATTTATTCAAGTATTATCTAACCACAAACCCAGAATCCCCAACAATGATGTCAGTGTGTCCAAAAGACTTATTTTGCTGTAGTGTTTGGTTTCTTTAGTATCATACACATATGGTAACATGCCAAGAGATAATGTGGAAATACAGCAAAAGAACTTATGGATGAACACAATGTGAAAGCCATTGTGGGAGCTCATACATGGGAAGAAGCTTCTGCCATAGCCGAGGTTATCAATGAAGCTGATCATGATATCCCAATGTTCCTTTGCTAGCTGATACGACTCCACTGCAGGCAACAGATCGATGGCTGTTTCTAGTTCAAGCTGTTCCTACACAATCCACGCACATGAATGCAGTGGCTGCCATTTTACCGTCATGGGGTATTCGTCAAGTTACGCTCATATAAACCTCGCTTCTAGCTTCCTCATCTTCATCAATCATCTCCCATCTCTCTCAGGCATTTCGACAAACAGGTTGTGAACTAATTCATATCTTGCCACTCACATCTGGTTCATGTGTCCTAGATGAAGAGCTTGAGATACTACAGAGACAGCAACGTAAAGTCTTTGTAGTGCATACAACTCTGGAACTCGAGGTTCGCCTGTTTCAGGCAGCCAAGAAGATGGAAATGACTGGAGACGGGTATCTATGGATAGCAACCAATAGAATCACTGATCTTTTTCATTCTTTTAATTCCACCATGACTTCTTCWTTGAAAGGCATGGTTGGAGTCAAAAGTTACTTCCCTGAAAACACGCTGGAGTTTCAAGATTTCAGGAAAAGATTCCGTCAGAAGTTCCTAGCAGATTACCCAGAAGAAGAGCACCAAGAACCTGGAATTTTTCACGTGCAAGGATACAATGCCATGAAATTGTTAGAAAAATATTCACCCGGAGACCACTTCCGAGAGTACAGTCGATATTGTTAACGTGATGGCAAAGGGGTATCACAGTGTGTACTGGACCGAAGGATCAGGGTTTTCGGAGACCGTTGATGATGACATTAATGGAGCTACTGCTTACACCCATTCTATGGATAACGTGGGACAAGCTCTGTGGCCGGTGCAACCATGGTATGCTCGTAGACAGCACCGTAATCTAGCCGAAAGTTCATGGAACCGAATGAGGGTCGGCGTTCCTGCTCAATCTCTGTCCAAGCAATTCGTGAACGTGGAATTTGATCCCGAGAAGAATCAAACTGTGATCGGTGGATTCGTAATCGCTGTGTTTGATGAAATGATGAAACAAATGAATCTGCCATATGACTATTTTCCATTCTATGGTTCTTACGATGAACTGATCAGACAGATACCTGCAGAGGTCACCATCATCACACCTCCATCTTTTACGAACCAAAAACCGTCAAATTCATCCCAATACGAATATATGAGCATGCACGTATCGGATAAAATCTGGATATTTTGATTCCATCTGCTAAATATAAATTATACGAGTTATTAATTACCTGTTCTCTTTTGTTTGTTGATTTGAAGCAGAAGTTCGATGTGATCGCCGGTGACGTAACGATTTTGTCAAGCAGACATGAGTACGCGGATTTCACACAACCGTACACGGAATCGGGATTGGAGATGATCGTTCCAATTCGATCCAGATTATCAAACCAGCCATGGTTGTTCATGAAGCCTTTCACCTCCAAAATGTGGTGGTTAATAGCAGCAATCACACTTTATAACGGCTTCATCATTTGGTTGATCGAGAGGACGCATTGTGACCATCTTCAAGGCTCCATTATGACCCAAATCGGAATCATCATTTGGCTTGCATTTACAACACTTTTCACTTTCAGAGGTATCATACGAACTTTCATTGTTAGCAGCTGAATGACGCTTGGCAGCTTATTCAGTCAGCTCACCTAGAAAGACAATGTTTTCCAAATCTGTAAAGATGTTCCTTCCATGAAGTGATGGCCAAACCGGCCCGGAACCGCCGTAGGACGGAACCGGGACCCGCAACAGACTGGGACCGACCGGGACCAGCAGGGACCGGTTGAGGGACCGCCGGTTCTGTCAGATGGAGGTCGCAGCATCTCCATAAAGAGAAGGTCCCTGTCTAGCCAGATGGAGGTTAGACAGTGACCCTAAAACAGATGTGGTAGACTTTGGCTCTGATACCATGTGAAGATATATGAAACCTGATGAATCTCTTTCTAAAAGAGCTTTTTATAGAGATACCAGAGTTTCCTTACGTGTCTCCTCGATGTTATACTTGCAGGCGTTTCCTAGAAAATTTTTGTGGCTTTCCGATGCAAACGTAGCTCTAATGAACATATCAGAAAGTGGGAAGCTCAAAGAACTCAAGGATGCCTTTCTTATATCCGAGAAGTGTGTTGACAACAAATCTTTTCCTAACGAAGACGAGAGTCTAAGTCCTCGCAACTTCTCAATACTATTTGAGTCAACCGTAGGGGCATCAACGCTTGCTCTAGCCATTTACATCATCATTGGCATTAGATAATTTAATGAACGTAATCCGGAAATCACAATTTCTTCCAAATGATATCAGCGTTCATGAAAAACCTACAGCATCGAATGAGACGATCATCTAGCATTGTTGTTAGGATCGTAAGCCCCGTACACACTCCGACCGATTCACAGACTCAAGTTGACATGGATCATCAGTAAGTACAAGAAAGATCCTGACTAGTGGTGGCGGCTACTGAAACTAGCGATGATAACCATTAAAACAAATACAATATTAAGATTATATATCAAACTAGGGTAGATCAGTAATATTTTAGTTTTTACCTCATTCTTGTCCCATCTTGTTCCACCTATTTTGATGGAACAAGAAAAAGTCTCTTTTGCTTCATGTTGTCCTACCTTTTCCCAGTTCTTAAGATTATATATCAAACGTGGGACAGTGAGTTATTGTTATGTCACATGTCACGCCAAACGTGGGACAGTGAGTTATTGTTCTGTCGCATGTTGCACCAAACATGGGACAATGAGTTTTATCCCGTCCCATGTACCAAACACGTTAGAATCTTGAAGCAAATATGATCCTGGATTGATTGATGATCCATACATAAAATGCAGGTCTGATTTATAAACCAAACTAATCCAGTATATTCCATCTGGTGGTAGGGTCTAGGGTGGGTAAGATGTACACATACCTGACCTCTATCCTATAGGATATGATGTATGCAAGTCCGATTTATCTTTGAAGTAAATTACAAAGTTCAATCCTATGGGTTAGGGTATTATCTAACTTTCACAGATACATTTGTTGACAAAAGAATTACAAGTTTTGACATGAACTTCATAATTTCACTACATACTACAACGATTTTGGGTTTACAGGACGCCAGAAAATGTTTTTAAGTGTCTTAATAGACTGTTTTATAAGACTTATGTTTATAGGACCAAACGATAAAGCGTCATATCTAAAAGTGTAGCAATAAGTTTATAGAACGGTTTTGGGTGTCTTAACTAGCTAAATAGGACATTTTTAAGACAAATTGTCATATTAGCTATTTTATAGGTCACTATGTAAAAAAAGGTTTTATAAAAACAAGTGTCATTTAAAAAAATGTATTTATAAGACACTTGTCAAAAGTGTCCTATAAAATAGATAATATGACGCCTTATTTTGAAAATGTGCTAGAAACTTGTTAAGACGCCCAAAAGCGTTCTATAAACTTATTGTAACACTTTTAGACATGACACGTTTTTGTTTGTATCTATAAGCTTAAATCACATAAAGCGGTCTAGTATGACACTTGGGGCTTGTTCTTTAGCAGCTTAATGAGCTTAATGGGACTAACAGCTTATTCACTGTAAGCTTTTGGGGGAGGGCTTTATGCAGAAAGCCAAGGTTTTCCAAACATGCCCCTCCCAAATAAAAAACGTGTTCCTTCCTTCTATAAAAAAACCTTACCAATCCATAGAAACAGATTAATCCACATAATCAGCTTTATCCATACAGAACTTATGGAAAACCAATCAAACATCCCCTTGTACATTGTTGGCATCCTATAAACCCGATTTTATTGTACGGACAAAAGTTATGAGCGATCTTAACATTGTTAGATTTCTGCCGTTACTACAAAAGTAAACCAAAAACGAAGCCTTACTATACTTTGACACCTTGAAAGTACTAAGGGGCCATTTATCAAACACTTACCCAGTAAGCGTTTACCGGTAAAATTTAACACAATCATTTACTTACTGGGTAAGATTTAGTCCACCAAAACGGTATCGTATGCAACAATTTACCCGGTAAGCACTTACCGTGATAAGAGTTATCGCCCTCACTTACCGGGTAAGACTCTTGGTCCTTGTCTCGTTCTTACCGGGTAAGATTTTTGGTCCTTACCAATATTCACCCGGTAACGTAATGTGACGTGGTGTTCACGTACCCGAGTAAGTGTTTGGTAAACATCCCCTAAGTCATCCTGAAAGTGCTAAAAAAGGGACTTGAATGGAGTAACAAACACAAGAACCTTGAATGAGCTTGTAAAAAGGCTTTCTTTTTATTGTTTGAATGTTTCTTGGATGGTTTACAAATGAGGGGAACTCCAAACGTTGCTAAAGATGTACAAACCCTGAAACCCCGTGGATACAAGATTGTCCCGGGAACTTTCAAGTTCGTCTTACAAATATTCTGAAAAAGGGTACACCACCACCCTATGGAACTCCCCTCTATACCGGTCCCATGGTCGTAAACTGTATGTCCCTAGGTGGTGCATGGAGTCGAACCTCATGCTTTTCATTCATTCAGCAGACGCCCACCTCCTTATCTGCTAAGTTAAAGTCACATGGACTCATCTTGCAGTATCTTACATAGTTTGGTTGGTTTTTCATTAAGTCATGTAAGGATAAAGTTGTCTGTGTGAATTAATCTATATCTATAAATTGAAAAGGTTTTTGTTTGCAGGGTTTTTTCATAAATGAAAGGAGCATGTTTTTTAATTGGAATGACACGTTTGAAAAAAAAAACTTAGCTTTTTGCATAAATCTTCCTTCTAGAAGCTTACTGAATAAGCCACTATCAAATGGTTATGTATAGTTGACAGGATAAGTTGTGATTCCCGTTAAGCTTATTAAGCTGCTAACAAACAAGCCTCTTAGAAGTTCCTAGACAACACTACATGACACAAGGAGATACTAGAATACTTTATGAAACTTTTAGAGAAACTTTATACGTATTCTCGTTGATAAACGCAGGTGTGTATACAACCTAAATGACCTAAATTAAATCCCATAATTAAATGGATTTGATAGCTAAAGAAGAAAACTACCCAACTATACAAAAATCTGCTACTAGAAGCTAAATACAATCCCACAAAAATCAGGGATTATATTCTTTGCATTATATCTTTACACTTTGGAAAACTCTATAAGTTGCTAGAGATTTTGGCAGAAATGTAACCTTCTTTGACGGATGATCTGTTTGCAGTCAGACGGTATCATGCGTATGTCTGTATGGTGCTGCTGCCACTCGACTTCATGTGATCCATCCCCATGACAACATGCTGTGAATCATTCTTGTTCATGTTGATCATGTGCTGTTTCATCGATTGAACTATAACAGCTGAATGTCATGCCATGTGCTTTTCGATTTTAGTATTTGCTGTTGTCGTTCATCTTGTTTCCATGCACCTATATATCCAACACCAATAAACGTAACACATCATATCAGCACACATACAAAAGAGATGGAATTGCTACTTTGCTTTTTATATTTTAGATAACTCGCTACTGTAATATCGGGTTGATAGGACGCCAACAATGTCTACATGTCCTAATAGATTGTTTTATAGAACCAAACAATAAAGAGTCTTATCTAAAAGTGTTGTAATAGGACGTTTTTGGACGTCTTGACAAGTTTTTTAGGACATTTTTAAAATAAAGTGTCATATTAACTATTTTATAGAATATTTTTGAGAAGTATCCTATAAACACATCTTTTTATAGGACACTTGTTTTTATAAGACACTTTGTCATATAGTGTCCTATAAAATAGCTAATACGACATTTTATTTTAAAAATGTCCGAATAAGCTTGTTAAGACACCCAAAAGCGTCCTATAAACTTATTGCAATGCTTTTAGGTAGGACGCTTTATCATTTGGTCCTATAAACTTGAGTCCTAGAAAGCGGACACTTAAACATTTTTGGCATCTTATAAACTTATTGCAATGCTTTTAGGTAGTACGCTTTATTGTTTGGTCCTATAAACTTAAGTCCTATAAAGCAGTCTATTGGGACACTCAAATATTTTTGGCGTCCTATAAACTTATTGCAACGCTTTTAGATAGAACGCTTTATCATTTTGGTCCTATAACCTTAAGTCCTATAAAGCAGTCTATTGGGACACTTAAAACATTTTTGGCGTCCTATAAACCCAAATTTTTTGTAATGATTCAAGGAGTGTTGTACCTACAATCATAGTAGGTTCCAATCTGTTCGGGTCAAATCCAGCGTAACTGCGTTGTAACGCCTAGACTCAACTCATTTCTAGCACGCTTGAACTTTTAGGACTTTCCACATTGCTGACTTTCCTGGAGAATCGTTTCCTTCGATACAGAAAATACTTTCTAACATCAGAAATAATGGTGACGAGACTTCTCCCTTCAATCCAGTAATGATTACGCAAGCTAATAATGACATAGATTGCAAGTGCAACGGTCGAAGTGGCGCCTGTAAAAAGGAAAAGTGACCAAAAGCTATGAAGACCCAAACTTTCATAGTCATCATGGATCGATTCCAGATCTACACAGTGCTCGGAACCAATCATTCTTTGCTCCATATGTCGGAGAGTTCCACTTTCGGAAATGTTCAGTAATGCCTTCGTAAAATCAGCAAGCATTGGAGAACCTTTCTGAAGTACCTGCAGTTGGAGGTACAGCCAGACTAGTAAGTCATTATGGACTACTTGAAACACTTAATAAAATTGGCTTTATAGTACGACATTGTCTAAACGTCCTAATAGAATATTTTATAGAACTTAGGTTTATAGGACCAAACTATAAAGCGCCCTTTCTAAAAGTGCTACAATAGGTTTATAAGACGCTTTCAGGCATTTTAACATGTTTTTTAGGATGCGTTTAAAATAAAGTGTCTCGTTAGCTATTTTATGGGCCATTTTTTAGAAGTGTCCTATAAACCCATCTTTTTATAGGACACTTCTGTTTGTATGACACTTTTTCAAATAAAGTTACATAAAATAGTTAATGTGACACGTTATTTTAGAACGTCCTAAAAAATTTGTAACGCCTAGAAGCGTCCTACTAAACTATTGTGACGCTTTTAGATAGGACGCTTTTTGTTTTGGTCCTGTAAACTTAGTCCTACAAAATATATTTTTCCAAACACTTCTTAATTTAGGCGTGCTATAAAATCAATTTTGTTGTAGTGAAACAAGAATGCAGATGCATAAGAACTTGGTGGGGGAATTGAACTGGTGTCACCAAGTTGAAGAGATCAAATTGTGAGATATGTCGAACCCTATCAGATTACTCTCCAAAAGAGCCCTTGAGAAGAAAAGAGGGGTTCCAACATATATCAAAGCAGAAAGTTCCAAGTGTACCTAGTATTGGGACTCTAACGCGCCCCCTCCAACATAGGCTAGGCGGGCACAAATGTCCTAGAGGTGTCACTAAAACAAAAATGGGTTTATAGGATGCCAAAAATGTCTAGGCGTCCAAACAGACGGATTTATAAGACTTGATTTATAGGACCAAACACTACAAGAATTTGGCTTTATAGGACGCCTAGATTGTCTAAGCATCCTAATATAATACTTTAATAGAATTCACATTTATAGAATCAAACTATAAAGCGTCCTAATAGAATACTTTTGTAGAACTTAGGTTTATAGGATGCTTTTAGGCGTTTTAACAAGTTTTTTAGGATGCTTTTGAAATAAAGTATCTGATTATCTATTTTACAGAACACTTCTGAGAGAGAAGTGTCCTGTAAACCCATCTTTTTATTGGACACTTGTATTTATAGGACACTTTTTCAAATATTGTCATATAAATAGTTAATACAACACTTTTTCAAATAGTGTCGTATAAAATAGTTAATACGACACTTTATTTTAAAAGGTCCTAAAAAACTTGTTAAAACGCCTAAAAGCGTCATATAAACCTATTGTAACACTTTAGATGTGACGCTTTTTGATTTGGTCCTATAAACTTAGGTCCTATAAACTTAAGTCCCATAAAATATATTTTTTTGACGCTTCTACATTTTAGGCGTCCTATAAAATCAGTTTTTGTAGTGAAACAATAAAGTGTCATATCTAAAGGTGTTTTAATAAGCTTATAGGATGTTTTTGGTCGTCCTAACAAGTTCTTTAGGACATTTTTTTTAAAAAAAAGTTGTATTAGCTATTTTATATGACACTATTTTGAAAAATGTCTTATAAAAACAAGTGTCCTATAAAAAGATGTGTCCATAGAACATTTCTCAAAAATGTCCTATAAAATAGCTAATACAACGATTTGTATTAAAAGTGTCCTAAGAAACTTGTTAAGACGCCCAAAAGTGTCTTGTAAACTTATTACAACACCTTTAGATAGCATATTTTATTGTTTAGTCCTATAAACTTGCACCCTATAAAGCGGTCTATTGGGACAGTTAAAATTTGTTGGCATCCTATAAACCTGATTTTGTTGTAGCGTGTAGACCTTGGCTTTGATACGATGTGAAATATGTGGAACCCCATCAAATTATTCTCCAAAAGAGCCCCTAAGGAAAGAAGAGAGGTTCCAACATATGTTGAAGTAGAAAGGTCCAAGTCTAGCAGATATGAGACTCTTAACAAGTATAGCAGATGTGAGACTCTTAACACAAATGAGTCAATGGAGTAATATATAAGAATCTTACAAATGCAAATCCTCCATCCCCGAATGTAGGCCCGGCCGCCATGAAGCTCTTGCAGTACTTGGAAAGGAATAGTTTAGTGAACGGAGCCTCAAGAAAAACCGCTGCTATTTCTCCACTTCGAAGAGCACGAGCATATTCTTCTGGTGACTTGAAGCTCCGAATGTTACTAGGCTTGAAATGCAAAACATCCTCCAAATACCTAACGACATGGGCTCCTCTGCCATACCCCACAATTGCATTTGTATTCTTCAGTGTCTCAAAGTCGGCTACTTTAGGTATCAGCCTTCTAACAGTGAGCATACTGGTGAGGCTAGCCGTGTAACACTGACCAATGATTATTGCCGCAAAAAGCCACACCACAGTTGTTATTCTTGTCAAATTGCTATGAAGTTCGTCACCTGAGTGATAAGAGCAGTGTTACCACTACAACAAAATCGAGTTTATAGGACGCAAAAAGTGTTTATACCACTACAACAAAATTGGGTTTATAGCCTAGATTGTCTAAGGGTCCTAATAGAATACTTTATAGAACTTAATACTTTATAGAACTTAAGTTTATAGGATCAAACTATAAAGCGTCCTATCTAAAAGCATTAAAATAGGTTTATAGAACACTTTTGAGCATTTTAACATGTTTTTTATGACATTTTTAGAATAAAGTGTCTTATTAGCTACTTTATAGAATACATTTGAAAAATGTCCTATAAACTAATCTTTTTATATAACACTTTTTCAAATAGCGTCATATAAAATAGCTAACACGACACTTTGGTTTAAAAGCATCCTAAAAAAACTTGTTAAAACGCCTAAAAGTATCCTATAAACCTTTTGTAACACTTCTAGATAGGACCTTTTTTGGTCTGGTCTTATAAACTTAAGTCTTACAAAGTATTTTATTAAGACGCTTAGACATTTTAGGTGTCCTACAAAACCAATTTTGTTGCAGTGTTAAAGTGTTCTAATAGACTACTTTATAGGACTTAAGTTTAGAGGTCCAAACCCTTGTGTGTCTTATCTAAAAGTGTTGTAATAAGTTTATAGAACGGTTTTGAACGTCTTAACAAGCTTTTTAGGACACTTTTGAAACAAAGTGTCCTATTAGCCTTTTATAGGACACTATTTGGAATTAAAAAAAATGTCTTATAAAACAAGTGTCCTATAAAAAGATGTGTTTCGAGACAATTCTTAAATTATGTTGTAGCCAAAAATTACTTCTTAAACAACTTGGAACCTACTATAATTGTAAGTACAACAATCTTTGTATCACTACAAATAAATCGAGTTTATAGGAAGCGAAAAGTGTTTTAATGTTCTAATAGACTACTTTATAGAACTTAAGTTTATAAGACCAAACTTTTTTATGTCCTATCTAAAAGTGTTGTAATAAGTTTATAGGATGCTTTTGAGCGTCTTAACAAGCTTTTTAGGACACTTTTGAAACAAAGTGTCCTATTAGCCCTTTTATAGGACACTATTTTAAAGAATGTCTTATAAAACAAGTGCCCTATAATAAGATGTGTTTATAGGACACTTCAGAAGCGTTGTTTGCAACATTTCAACTTACCATTTGCTAAAAACATCCTCGTGAAGGCTAAACAAAGAAGAATTCCAGTTTGATGCAATGCAGACCCTTCGAGTTCAGGACTGTGTTTCCGCTCAATCAGCCATACCACAAAGCCATTATAGATATGAATCATAACAGTTAGAGCCCACATGCCCAATGTGAAGGGCTTCACAAATAGCCATTGTCCATGCTGTGATGCAACAGGTACTACCATCACCAACCCTGTTTCTGTATACGGATGTGTAAACTCGGCATACTGATATCGTCTGGACACTACTGAGACATCACCAACTACTGCATCAAATATCTGCCCAATAAATGCAAAATTTCAGGTAAGAAAAATTAATAAGAAGAAGAAAAACAACATATTATAGCTAATATGTAGAGTCTATTTGTAAATCCCCAAAGCAACAGGCTAGCCCAATAACTTCGGATTCAACTTAAAACCATGGTGGAAGTAATTGGTATCCCATATCCCATAACTTTGAGCTTATAGGGTACATTTGGTATCCAAACAGGATAGGACAGAGCAGAACATGATAAAAGAGGATAGAACAACTATTAAGCTTTTGTTAAGACAAAACTGGACATTACATAATAGATAAAATTACCAATTTACCCTAATGAGTTGTTTATATATTTTGATTAATTTATGTAATTTATTAAATTATAATAAAACAAATATTTTTTATAACAAAATATATCATTAAAAAGTTCTCGTCAAGACAATTAAAATGACACCAAAATAAAAATAAATTACATTAAATTAATCAAACTATAGAAACCGAATAAAAATAATATTTGAGGATAGTAAAGTGAAAGTTTAAAGAACATAAATTACAAAAAAAAAAATTTAAAGAATGAATAAAATGTACATTGTTTCATGGGGTGGGGGTGGAACACACCTATTCCACTTTGTTTTAGTCTGCTCCACGTAAAAGTCCTGCCAAACATGGAACAGTGATCCCTTTTTTGTTCTATTATGTCCAGTGTACCAAACACACCCATAAGAAGCTAACAAATTTACTTTTCTATCTATGTGAGACGGGTTGATACACTCTAAACTAAGAATATTTGTTAAAAGTACGGGCTGAAGCACAGAAACTGAAATTGCTTCAAGATATTGCTTTACTATTCTAAAAGGAGAATAAAGTAATAGCAGGAATCTGAGCTTAAAAGTTATAAATAAAATGCATGAATAGTGGCTCTTCACCTTTAGATAAACTTTCTCCACCAGTTGATCATATGTTCCGTTGAAGGGGATAAACTCATATGGCAAGTAATATGGCAACTGTTTAACCATTTCTTTGAAAAGCTCAACTGAATATCCAGTGCAAGTGAAATTACCATCGCTATCATATATCACTTCCACAAATTTCTTAAACATGGCCATCGTTGGCACACCAACTCGCAACGGATTGACATTTGTAGAAATATCCCACCCTCTTGGAGTATGCAACGGTCTCCCAGGCCAAAAAATGTAGCCTAAACTTTGCAAAGAGGTATTGTTAGTAGTCCTATTAATAACCTCAGAAAAACCGTGTCCTTCTGACCAGAACCCGAGTTCTCTATAGTATTTTCCTATAACGTTGATAATGGGAAATATATGTGACGCAGCTGGTTTTCGGTCAACAAACTGAACTTCACCGGTGATGCCATTGCCATTTAAAGACATTGATGGAACTCTTTCCAGTAACTTTTGCCCACTCGTGTTCTTTTCGCTCAATGCTAAGGCCACAATCCATGTAGCATCATAGGCCTGGGCTGCAAAAATGCCGGGCATGTTGTTATCTTCTTCAGGTTGCTCGATCTTGAACTTTTTCTGAAACTTTGTGCTAAAATCTTGAAACTGTAAGCTAGTATCCAGAAAGAAACTACCAAGTCCCACAATACCTTCCATCATGGAAAAGGTAGAGGAATTCACAGTATGGAGAAGATCTGTAAATAAAGTTGTTGTGATCCAAACATAACCCCTTTCCATCATCCCCATGTTTTTTGCATTTTGAAAAAGGCGAATACCCATTTCCAAAGTGGCGTGAACGAGAAACACTCTGCATTGCTCTGTTTTAATCCTTTCAAGTTCTTCTAGCAACAAAGAAGAAGAAGAAGAAGAAGATAGAGATGAGAGCTTTACGATAGTGCTCATTTCTACACCAGATTCTTTTATGGCTTCGATTAGATGAGGAATGACTTGAGTGGAAGCTGAATTGATATCTTCGTATATGAAAGTAAAGCGATGCCACTCACAAGATTTCAAAATAGCAACAACAGCTTTCATTTGAGCAAATTGAGAGGGTGAGGCTTGAACAAGAAAGGGCCACCGATCTAGTGCCCATTCAGGAACTGAATCAAAAAGAGAGAAGGTCGGAACTTGAGCTTCACTACCGACCTCTGCGACTGAAACCACTTCTTCCAAGGTCTGTAGTCCCAAAATCGCCTCCACCTTATGTGTATTAATAAGATAGGTGGCTGCATTTCGACCATGTCCAAAAATTGTTATCTATCTGCAAGTAAGATAGAGGAAGAAAAAGAAAAACAGGTGGACAACACTACAGAATAGAGATATCTACACAGAGCTACATAAACTGGTTTTATTGATTCACCAACTGAACATCTTAATGTTGAAACAAGCAATGACCCTTTATATATAATCAGTTTCTAGCTTTTGCAGCTAAAATTTTGCAAATTATCAAATTGTTCATGAGGTCTAGATAATTCTTTTTTGAGTCTCGTCCAACTAGATTGCAGATGTCTAATGGTTTTTGTAAAAGAAGGGGACTCTATATATCTAATGTCGGTTGTTAGAAACATTTTGTTCTGCTTCCAAATCATTTCCCAGTTATTTTGATATCAAACTAGAATGATATAAAATTTATAACACTTTCTCCATATATATGTATCATAAAATTCTTGAAATTCCTTAAATATTCATACATAAGTTCATCGTTCTGACAAACGCTACAATCAGAGATCGTTTGTAACAAAAACAATCTTAGATGCAAACCTGAACATTGAAATAATAAAACACACTTTGCTGGGAAGAACTATTGTGTTCATAATCAATATGGATTTTTGTTTCAAATTAAACCCCCACAATATTGTGTCCATAATGAATCGTGTTTCCTCAAAAACTTCGAGATATTGATGAAACGAAATGAGTATTATGAGATCTAAATGGAAAAGGGGAAGTTTTCTAGGGTTTTAAAAAATAAGAACTAAACCGTAAATACGTAGAAATCAGATAACGGATCTATCCTATAACATTACTATTTCATAATCCGATGACTACCAGTACCAAGCATGTAGCACTAAGAATAATCAGAAAACAGGAATCGGAAAATTGAAAATTTCATGAAATCGATAAACCTGAAGAAGTAGATGGGGGCTCGGAATTGGTACAATTAAATGCCGGAAATCGTAACCGGCGCCGGAAGTAAATCCAGCATCGTTAAACTACTCGATTTGCATTCAGGTATGACCTTTGGATCGTTGTATTCAAAAAATCTCCATTGATATGGCGGGAAGCTTTTCTTAACTTTTTCCTTTAATTTTATTAACAAAAATTATATATATATATGATAAACAATTTCAGTAAAATTGATCGTTCGAAAAGGTACTCGTACAATACAGTGAGATATATCTCGATTTTAGTATTTCATTTTATTATTTGTCTTTATCTATGTTATAATGTTATTTATATCATTTTGAGAAAATGATAATTTTTTTATTTTTAAATAAAATATAAATTTGGAAATATAATAAAACATTTTAAAAAGTATATCAATAGCATCAAATTGACTGTTTAAAAATTCTCATTTTTTTATGTAATTTATTTATTCATTTTTTTTTATAATTTAATTTAGATTTAATAGCGAAGTAATTTGTTTTTTGTTTAATAATATATAATTTTTTTATAAATATAAAAATTAAGTATTCTGTTATAATTTATTATAATTATATTTTATATTTCTATATTTAAAATGAGATGTTTATCATGTATTTGATTATGTTTATCTGTAATTACTTACACGAATTCAAACATAGAGTTTTAATAAGTTATACTTACGTACAATTTACTTGTAATTTTGAATTTTGAGTAACATGCATCAATAAATAATATTTCATATATAAAAAATGATTTTCAATAGTTTTTATCAAATGCTTTTATAATATAGTATAAATTGTTGAAGACCAAATCAAGTTAAAAGATAAAGAAAAGCCGAAAATCTTTAAAGATTATAGAGGAGAGAGGAAGTTATAAAGTCAATGAGGGTACTGTTGTAATCATATGTAATAATATTAATTATTTATGAAAAATTAAAAAATGATAATGAGACAACTCAACCGACAAGATATATCTTGACCCTTTGATCGAAACTTGTTTTGATATGTCGTCCAACCCGCCTCCTACGTCCATATTATCACGTAAAATAAAAATCAAATATAACAAGGCCGTTGCAAACCAGGTATCGTTTTCGTACATAGATATAAATTTGGGATCATGTGAGACCAATGGCTTTTCGTAAGACCCGTAAGACCAATTCTCAACATTTGGATTAGATTTACAATTTAATTGTTCATAATCACAAAATTGTCAACAGACTTCTCAATAATCACAAAATTGTCACCGTGCAACTTTAGATCATTAACTTATAAAGTCGATCAATGAACATAAATTGGTATTACGGGTCTCACGAAAAAACATTGGTCTCATGTGAACCCAACCACGTAGATATATTTATCAGTGTTGACGAAATTTGTTGCAATAAAATATAAATATAAATGAAAAACAAAACGAAATGTACAGATCCAATGAATCAATACACAACCCAATTAATCTGTGACTTGTTCCATTAAATCTTTTTATAAACATTATCTCATATATCTAATTTATCTGTTTGGCTGGTTGACTAAACACATCTAGTTTGCTAAAAATGGCATATCGAACAAGAACGAAGGTACAATATACATTACCTTCGTGGATCGCTTGTACAGTATTTCCTCTAGAGTTTCTTGCGTATAGCGTCAGGTTTTTCCCTGTTCTTGCGTTGAAATCATCTACCATGATTTCCATGGCGACTCTGGCTTCTTTGCCTGCTCGCGACGTCGTGTCCGTAATTGCACCGATAACTAACGTATCAGTCTCTGAAGCAGATGCGTTGTTGCTTTTATTATTCAAATGAAATAAAAACAAGAAAATAATAAGAAAAGACACATGAAAATAAGTAGGTTTGTTCCTCATTTTTAGGAAATATGATGCTAAAGAAAACCCCCCACCAAGATTTCTCAAGTTGCTTGCCCATACATTTATATAGAGGGGGATCGAGAAAAAGACAATTTCTATATATGGAAATAGAGAGTGTGTGTGTGTGTGTGTGTGTGAAGAAGTAGTCACATTATCATATAATATGTATACTAAAAATAGAAGTCACATATTGTATTGACATACAATACAGTAAGATACATTTTGATTATCAACTTTAATTCATGTTTTATCTGTTCTCTGTATCTCTGTTGATTTTATTTTATGGTATTGTGTATGTGACATTTGATACACAGATTCTGAAGGAATTTGATTAAATTGGAATGTTAGATTCATTTGACCAAATTCAACTTTATTGACTGATTCAATATTTTTCATGGAAGTAATCGTTAAATTCCACAAATGAGGGATTTAGACATTCCATGATCTAGAGATTGTATTTTGATGAAGTAGAATTTAACATTTTCATGATTCAAAAAATACCCTTAACCTCAAATATCAAAAAGGGTATTTTGGTAATTTAGCGAAATTTTATTCCAATTATAAAGCTACATTGTGTGAACCAACCGACGGATTCAAAATCTGCCAACCAAACAGACGGTAAAACCTGACAACATTTCATCTCAATTCCTTCAAAATCAAATTCCGTTGACAGATTCTATTTCATCCAAAAATATTTTGTGAACTAGACGCCACCTTAAGTTGATTATCAGCTTTATGGAGTATTATTTTGTAATAACAGGGCTTGAGGATTGACCATGTTTCACGTATATTATTATTGATTATTTTGCAAAAAATAAACATAAATATCTTCTAAAAATATTTTGTTCCAAAAATGCCCTTCATTTATTTTATTTTTTAAATTTGTTTCCGTTTTTGTTAGATTATAACCTCTCATTCATCACTACCATTGATTAAAAAAAAATTAAAGCCATAGATCGGTTATCAAAGTTAATACTATTTATTTGGTTAACAAATGATTTTCTCTCTCTCTCTCTCTCTCTCTTGATGTGTGTGTGTGTGTGTGTATATATATATATATATATATATATATAGGGTTGGGTTCACATGATATTAGGCTGTTTTCGTGAGACCCGTGAGACCAACTTTTTTACACTTGAAACTTCATAGCAAAATGTTGTGAAGGTAACCTTCACAGTGTTTTGCTGTGAATGTTCGATTTTTTTAAACCTTCACAGTGTTTTTGCTATGAAGTTTCAAGTGTAAAAAGATTGTCTCACGGGTCTCAAGAAAACAGCCTAGTATCACGTGAACCCAACCCTATATATATATAAGAACACTGAGACAATTACAAATGTATATAAAAAAAAGTGTCACTAAGTTTTTTTTGTGATCATTAGTTTTCAGGACAGCTTATGCACACTGACTAATCTCTCGAACAATCACGAATAGTCTGAGGTCATGAAAGGTGAATGTCCATGACCATAAAAGCTTTGGAAGCATCTAGATTCAAATCTGATATAGATGAGATATTCCACTACATCCTATTATTACTTAACCAGTGCACGACAACCTAACAACAGCTTAATTTCACTCAAATTATAAATCATTGTCATGGTAATTTATTGGAAATTTTTTTGAATAAAATACTCAAAAGTTTTTATAAAACAAAAGAATAATCAAATACAAGATGCATTGTGTTGCCATCTGCTATTAAAATAAATTAAATTACCAACTTTGCATTTGGACATTTGCCCTTTTCTTTTCTAATTCTACTTTAATCTATGGGTATTTTAGTCATTTTGCAAACTTATTATTTGTGTGCACCATTTTTCTATCATATTTGATATAAATGACATCGATTTATGTGGCTTCCTTTGTTTTGCACATATATTCTTCTTCCAATATTAAAAAGTCAACTATATTCACATAATAGATAAAAGTGATGTATACGTTTCAAATGTAGTTTATTACATTTGTACGACCAATACAATTCAATTAATTAAGATATTTATGAAAATGATAAAAGTTTATTTATTATGATTTGAATATTTATGAAAGATGAATATGGTTCATTCATTATGATCAATACTTTATATTATAAAATAATCTAAACTTTTATGAAATCATATATTTATGAAATCAAATGTACGGTTGAGATTGAGTTGCATTGATTGTACACACGTAAAGGGTTGCATTATAACCCATCTTTATCTCTATCTCTGTCTATACATACATACATACATACATACATACATACATACATACATACATATATACATACATACTTGGGATCATGTGAGACCAAGAGTTTTCCATAAGACCTGTAAAACCAATTCTCAACCATTGGATTGGATCTACAATCTGAACATTCATAATCACAAAATTGTCGTAAGACTTCTCAATAATCACAAAATTATCACGAGATTTATCAATAATCACAAAACTGTCACCGTGTATTTTTAGTTTATTTTACTCGTCATCTAATATATGAGTTACTTTTTATAAAATATGACTAGTTATCTTAAATCAGTGGCTTATGGTGGCTCTCACGAAATTTGAGTTCTCAGATAATTAACCCGTGTGTGTGTGTATATATATATGTGTGTGTATATATATATATGTGTGTGTGTGTGTGATATATAGATAACGAGAGAGAGAGAGAGAGAGATATTAATACATATGTAAACTTACAAGAAAATTCATGATATATACAGTTCAATTCCATTTATAGTCATTGTAGATCAATATACAGATTAAGGCCCACGCAAGATATGTTGGTTGTCAAAACCATACGATTGACAAAATCGCTTCAATATTTCTCGACATTTTGTCCAAGTCATAGTCGGGTACGTGTATGCGAAGTTTCATGTAACGACGATCATATTAATGAGTAACAAGTCAACAATCGTAATATATGTTATCGGGATTTTGACTTTATATTGTTTTCCATAATAGCAGCTTCATTACACCTTCCTCTCACCGTCCATACGTACTCCAAGGCTCAAGGAAATTCGATTGAATTCGTTTTTTTATTCTACAATTTGTATATAATTTATTTAAAGTTTTAAATAAATCCAATAAGTTAGTTGAATTCGTTATTGAAAAATATATTTTTGAATAAAATAAATTAAAAAAATGCAATAAATAATTCAAGAATGATTTTAATAAATACTAGTAGAATATTTTCTTCTCATTTGACTCTTTCAAGCATTTCCTCCCACTTGTTTTTATTTTTATTTTTTAAATTGCAAGAAAATGATTTGATAGAATAAATAAGTTCAAAATTAATATATCTATACTATTTTATAAAGCATTTGGCTAAAACTCTTAAAACTCTTAAACTCGTTCATCCCTAAACGATTTTATCCTTATCCGATTTCATTCCATATCTGAATTCGTGTAGCTAACTGCAGATAAACACAATCAAATATAGGATAAACATCTCATTTTAAATATAAAAAATCTAAAATATAATTAGTATAATCATTGAGTTCTAACAAAATACTTAATTATTATCTTTATAAAATGTTATATTATTAAACCAAAAATAAATTATTTCATTATTAAACTTAAATTAAATTATAAAAAAATAATCTATACTATATTATAAATTATTTGACAAAAACTCTTAAAAACTACTTTTTATATTTAAAGTCTTGTTTATTAATGCATATTACTTAAAACTCAAGATTACAAGTAGATTATGCGTAAGTACAACATATTAAAGCTCCATATCTGAATTCGTGTAACTAATTGCAGATAAACATAATCAAATACTAGATAAACATCTTATTTTAAATATAAAAAATCTAAAATATAATTAGGATAATCATTGAGTTCTAACAGAATACTTAATTATTATCTTTATAAAATGTTATATTATTAAACCAAAAATAAATTATTTAAAAAAAATAAATTAAATAAATTACATAAAAAATGAAAATTTTTAAATAATTGATTTGACATTAACATTGATATATATTTTTTAAAATTTTTATTATATTTTCAAATATATATTTTATTCAAAAATAAAATCACTATTGCTTTTTTTAAAAACACATAATCTATACTATTTATACTATATTATAAAACATTTGACAAAAACTCTTAAAAATAATTTTTTATGCACGAAGTATTGTTTATTGATGCATATTACTTAAAATTTAAGATTACAAATAAATTATGCATAAGTACAACTTATTAAAGCTCTATACTTGAATTCGTCTAACTAACTGCAGATAAATATAATCAAATATTGGATAAATATCTCATTTTAAATATAAAAAATTTAAAATATAATAATGATAATAATTGATAACTAACAAAATTTAATTAAGGAAATTACACCAAACACACAAGAACTTTTAAAAAGATTAAATTAACTATATTATAAAGCATTTGACAAAAACTCTTAAAAAACATTTTTTATGCACGAAATACTGTTTATTAATGCATATTACTTAAAATTTAAGATTATAAGTAAATTGTGCATAAGTACAACTTTTTAAAACTTCATATTTGAATTTGTGTAACTAATTGCAGATAAACATAATCAAATACTGGATAAACATCTCATTTTAAATATAAAAAATCTAAAATATAATTAAGATAATCATTGAGTTCTAACAGAATACTTAGTTATTATCTTTATAAAAAAATTATATCATTAAATCTAAATTAAATTACTTCATTACTAAATCTAAATTAAATTATAATAAAAAAATTGAATTAAGAAAACTACACCAAAAACAATAATTTTTTAAAAAAGTTAATTTGACACGGATATCAATATTTTTTTTTCAAAATTTTGATATTTTCAAATTTATATTTTATTTAAAAATAAAATCATTATCGCGTTCTCAAAACCATATAAAATCGTATTATGAGATGTTTGGAATTGCTTATTTAAAACAACTTATGTTTTTTTGTAAAAATATTTATTAATTTATGTGGTATTAAATCGGAATTAAATAAAAGAAAGTTAAAATTGTAAACTGGTAATAAACAGTTTTTCATAAGTCAGGAAGAATTAACTTATAAAAAACAGCTTATTACCGGTTTGGCACCGGTATAAGCATTTTTTTTCTTATCCAAACACCAAAAAACAGCTTATCACCGGTGTCATACTGAAATAAGTTAAAAAACAGCTTTTATAAGCAATCCCAAACACCCCCTATGTCGACATAAAAAATATTAAATAAAACACTGATATTGAGATGTGTCTCGATTCATTGCACGAGTACCCTTCTAGTTTGTATATATATATATATATATATATATATCAGAAAAAGGGTAAAGTACATGAAAAAGTAATGCACTTTAACTTGATTCATTTTTTATGTAACGTACTTTCAGAACTTTCATTTTGATATTTAAGATGTAAACTTTACATTTTTAAATGAATTGGATAACGGAATAACTCTTACCCTATCTATACCCTACCGTTGCCAACTCTAGTAAAGATAGAGGTGGGTTGGGGTGGGTTCACGTGACCAAGAGATAAGAGAAGAGCAGAGTGGAATATTCTTCTTAGATGACACATGGCATCACGTAATTGGTGGTCAAAAAGGATAAAATTCTAAAAAAAGATGAAAATTTAATATTAAAAATGGAAAAAAACCTTATAAATAGACGAAAATTCCATCAAGTTTTAATGGAGGAAATGGATGGTCGTTTGGTCCAGAGATCAAATTCGTGAAAAAATCATATCATCAGGTAATCTACGTAATAAATGAAGTCTAAGAACCAATTTCATAAAACCCCGCGTATCATAAGGACCAAAACCGTAATTTATCCTAATTTTTTTCGCATGTCTTTAGTGTAGAAAGAGGAAAAACTCAGTCACTGTATTTTCATACACATGCACACACATATAGGCAAATGATCGTATGAGAAGAAAAGTTAAGGTAAGAAACATAAAAAAAGGGATTCAGACCTTTATTATCTTTAATCTCAAATTCACCTGTGAATCGTGCTTGATATGGTGATTGGTCTGGTGCATTTCGGTGCATCTCATCCTAACGTGTATCCAACGGTGGAGATCCATTCTTACACTTATCACTTTAACTCTCTTTCTCTCTGGAATCCAACCCCCACATATTTATTTACGATTCAAAAGAGAGCACACAAAAACCCATTCAAACCGTCCATCTATTTCTAATGTAAAGGTTGTGAATAAAAGGACCATTTACATTTTACCAACATTAAATCCACGATCATAGGAACAGTTATATTTGAATATACGTAATCTGTTTTTCAGATCAAACACTTGTCCTCTTTGAAGGTTAGATATTGGATCTCCTTGTATATCTGATTTTATAAAAAAAAAACATGCCCGCGATATTTTATTTGGATATTGGTTTCCAATTCTATACGGTGTCATGAAAGCGATTTGAAGTCTAATCAAAATATTGAGACGAGTAACTTAGAAAAACAGTCCGTGGACTATATGCAAACTTGTAAATAGACCTTTTTGTCCCGAGCGTTGACCGATAAATCACTTGCGAAACAGTCCAAGTTAATATTTCTGATAATAAATAATATTTAAATTAAATTTTTAATAAATAAAGTACGTTTTAATATTTTCAACAGTCGCATGATAGATGTCGTATTGACCTATAACTATATTTGATTCACTATCTGTTAATCACTGTGGCTACTAAAGCTCCATCCTTTTAACGAGTTCACATCAAAACTGAATTCCGAAAATTATAAATGGTCCGGTTTTAGGTTTTGATTTTGGATTTTAGTTGTATAACATTTGATCTCAGTTTCAGTTAAAAAAAGAAGGAAGGGACAGGAGTGTACAAAATTACATTTGTACCCTTTTGAAAATGACAGTGTCTGGGTTGGACCTGATCTTAAAGCCTTTATTCCGTATGGTTTGCAAAATTTTATTCCGATCATCGTGTTCCATTTAAAAGAAATTCGGGGAATTTCAGGGAAATCCCGCAAATAAACATCGGGTTTAATAGTTATATGGAGGTAGTTGGTATTTCATGGGATTTTATTAGATTGGTTTGTAATAACGTGTTAAAATATTTAACAAGAATGATGTTTTAATACGTTGAAAACATTATGCTTTTGTAATATTCAAGTTATGAAATCGTAATCTTTCAAAAATATACCGTCAAACCGAACACACCTTGACCATTTAGGTGGCGTTTTGGTTCGTTGGAACCCGACAAAATTTGAAGGAATCGACCAAGTTTCATTTACGTGTTTGGTTCATTTTTTGAATTTTGGTAAGGAAATCGAATTCTACATATTTTAAATTTTTTATATTTTTAAATGAGATGTTTATCCTTTATTTGATTATGTTTATTCGCAGTTAGTGAAACGAATTCAAACATGAAGTTTTAATAAGTTATATTTATGCATAATTTACTTGTATTGAACTTTAAGTAATATGAATCAATATACAATACTTTATGCATAAAAATGATTTTTAAAAGTTTTTGTCAAATGTTTTATAATATAATATAGTTATAACCCAAATTTGTTGGGTTAAGCCCAATAATGTTGAAAACCCATAAAAAACCGGACCAGATTTATTGGGCTAAGCCCAACAAAATTGAAAACCATAAAAAAATATAAGACCATATTAAAATTGAAACGATGAACCGTACACATTAGCCCAACAAAGTTGCAAACCCTTGAAAAAACCGACACCATATAAAGCCGTCGCCGGTGACCACTCGTCGTGCGCACGGGGTAAACTTCTCTTCCATTTTTCTCCGTTGCCGCCACACTACCGGGCCTCACCTCGCCGGCGAAGTCTCTGAATCACAGAATGCTGTAGCCATATGCATGGAAAAACTGCCATACCCAATGGACCTTTCACAGGAATTCCATGAAGAAGAAGACACTAACAAACTTAAAAAGAGCAAAACAACGAAGACGAATCGGAGTAAGATCGATGACGGCGTCGTCGTTGAATCATCGAAGAAGAGGAACATTAAAGGAATCATGTTATCTGTAACGAAACCTTCGTATACTTTAAAGAGAGGTATTGGGAGAGATTTACGGAGTTTGCGGTGGGAACATCGGAATAGACTGCGGTACCTTCTTCGGCAACTGGTTCGGCGTCAAAATTGGGATGAAGCTTCCGGCGTGTTGAGCTTGTTGTTGAAGGGGACGCACAGGGAGAACAGTTTATCGACGAATCGGACTAAATATTGGGTACATTTATTTGCGTCATTGTATTTGCCTGTTTTCCAGAAATCATAGATACACTCTAAATTGATCGTAGAAGAGAATAGCATCTATTGTAAGCCATGTACCCACAGACATAGTAAGGATGCATGCTCTTGGAAATTAGAGATGCATTTTGACCTAAAAACAACTAGCAAAGTCGTATACTACTAATGTTGATGCAAATTATCTGATTTCCAGCATATAGAACACCCCTGTCAGTTAGTTTTATGACTTCTTGGAGATATATTAGTCAATGAATTAGTAGCTGTTGTTTCTTTTTTTTTTTTGGGTACCTTCAGTGGTTTCCATCCCTGTCATGTTTCTTGGATTATCTGGAAGCAGTATTGAAGCTCTTATTTATACAATTTTAGTAGGGGTGTAGGCTAATACATATGAGTCCATGGAGAGCCACCATTGATTAGTTTTCTAAATAGTCTTCTGTTTTTAGTAACCTAAGTAATGTACGTAACAATATACACATTACATCATGTATGGGGTGGTCTTCTTGTATGATGTATGGATGGTGTTCTTGAGAGGGTTAATTCAGGGATATTGCATCAGTTCATGCTAAACAAAGAAAATAACATCTCTTATCGTGATCAATATGTAGTACTACCATCTCAGAATTTTGAAATTGATTCCTAAATGTCTAGGCTAGTTTGATTTTGAGGGGTGTATGGGGGTGGGGGGTATTTATCTATAAGAATATTGCATCTTTCGGTGTAGGTCTTTAGGTTGTTAATTCAGATTTTTGAGGTTCATGACATATATATATCGTAACACACTCAATTTAGCACTAGAATACAATTGAAAAAAGTTTGCCATATCTGAGTAAAGGTGTGAGCATTTGCTTTGCGAACTCTGTAATTATCTGCTCTGATTAGTTTTGAGGTTTCATCATTCATGTTGTAATTTTATTGATCTAAAGTTGGACAAGAAGCTGGGAACTACAACACCTCAACTGTTTGTGTAATGGGAGTTCTCCCAGCGACGTTTATTTAATACCTGTTTATGCACTTGCAATGTAGGCTACGTTGGAACTTCTAGAACATATGGGAGTTGCAAAAGTGAAACGAAGAAAAATCCAGCATGTGTACGAAATATGGATGAAAAAGAATTTTGCGGTTACAAAAAATAGGCGGTCATCAAAGGTATAGTCTAGTTACATACATTTTATATTCACATTCTCATGTCTGGTCCATGTTCTAATTAGTCATGTGATTTTCTCTACCAAAATAAAATATTTTAGGCCATCTGCTTCATAGTATGTTTACATTATGGGCATTTTACTTTAATGTGAATTTTTGGTGAAGAAGCCAAAAATTTGAAATATTAAAAAATGTGATTGGAAGCATATTGTTTTTACAAGGACATCGTATGATAAAATTATATTTCCACCAGAAACTTAAGGTGATTGAAAGTGATTTACTTCCGTTGGTAGTCTGTTATGCACTCAACCATAAGCCAGAGAGTGGTTATGCAAGCCCAATCCCAACAATATGTTTTAGGTATTTTAGATAGTGACTTCTTGAGGTAGTTTGTTAGTAGGGGTAGTAAAGGGATTTGTTTTCATAAAATTGTCATGCCATGTTATAAATAGGGATCAGTGGGGGGAAGGAGCCAGAAAATTGTCTACTGTTTTGTTAGGTGGACTAGTCTCACGAAAGCTAGATTGTTCTTTATTTCACTGCTGAAATACATCTTCACTTATGATTATTTCAATCCTTCTTTCATTGTTCACTTGAATTGGTCCATTTCAAAACATAGATAGTCTTGGGTATTAACAAGAAGAACCCCCCCCCCCCCGGTTTGTAAAATTTATTATAAAACTAGAAAACCTTCTGGTGTCGAGGTGTCTAGTATCCAGTACTATGATTGCCATGACTATAATATTAATACTGCATGTTGAAGCGTTATTGATGTATTGGTTTTTTGGCAGGGTAGGTTTGATGTACAGTTAGAATTCCTCCTCTTGTGTCTTTCAGAAGGCGATACTGATGGGGCATATCAGGCTGTTATAAGGTTTGCAGATTAATTTTTTAATTCACTTAGTTTTGGAACTTATTACATGTAAGTGATCTGCATCTATGCCCTTATGCTGCTGTAGAATACACACTTGCACAAGTTCCACAATTTGTTACTATAATCGCTTGTTATTTGAGGCTTATGTCGTCATTTGATTTTGTAGTTATTGTTAGAGCTAAGGAACATGTTTTTGATTCATTGATAGTGATTTGGAACATATACTTACTTGACTTATGACGGGCCATACATCATGGTTGGAAGCAGTATGCTATAAAATCAACAAGTTTGCTTGATCTAGATAAAACCTCTTGTACATTAATTCCCATTTCCTGTATCTTTTAAATACCCATTACATATCAGAGTTGATCAAAAGATTTCCTAATCATCATCTTTTGCTGTCTTTCTCTTATAAAATTGTATGTTGAAGGGATGCTTCATGTATTTATGGTTGTGTGGGTCACTAATCTTCTGCTTTCTACTCCGTTCCACTGTTGTGATTGCATTTCATTAGACTATCTTGGTCAGGACTGCTTTATGTTGGTCTTGGTACAGATAAGGGATTCGTTTTAATCAAATTATATGATGTTCTATCAGCCTTCTGCAAGAGAGTGAGTTTACAAGTGACTCAATAGCAAATGTGGTTGCTGGGTTGGCCTTTTCTCATCTATGGTACAATGCCATAGAGAAAGAGATGCACTTACATGATTCAGCTGAGTCTGGTACTCCCATCCAATCAACGACGATGTTGGGACCTCGACAGAGCATGTTAATCGATCAATCTAATGGACAAAGTGCCATTGAAGTTCAAGATTCTGGTTTTTCCATCCGAAGGGATTCAAACACCTCCATCAGAATTGGCAAAACAATTGATCCTGAAGTTGTGGACCGAGAAAGAAAAGTTCCGATGGAGGTTGATGATGATGTCAAGAAAGAAATACCCCAGTATGAGGAACTCCATATGAACTCTGTTGAGAGCGATCCAAGTGGCAATGCTTCCCAGTTCCCCCATACTGGCAACAAGCGCTATGGTTCTATATACTATGCTCGTGGTGAGTTTAGCTTTCGTTACACAATCTACTTAACTATCGATTGATTTGGGCACATGTTGGTTGACAAAAGTTGTAGCGTCTGCTTATATCTTTTTTCTGTTGACTGGTTAAAAGTTCATATTCTTGCACCAACTGCTTAATCTAATTAAAAGTTGAGATGTCCTGGTGACACTGAGAACGAAGGATCCATGAAGGGGGTTTTATTTGATGAACTGGAGTAAATAATCTCATGTGTGCACCTAATAATTTAGACCATGAGGTATATCATTTAAAATGCCCCAGCACTTTGTTAGTGGTCGACTGGTCGGTTTATGCTAATATGTTTGCAGAGTTTTATCTGGTAAACATGTTATATATGCAGATATGCAGTTATCTTCTTCTTGCCCCTTACCTTATTTGTCCCTCATCCCGTATGCAACACATATCTGTTAAAATATATGGAACTCTTGATTCTGTATACATATTGTAATGCGGGGGTCCTTTTGACATGGCTTTCTTTCCCATGATGCTGACATTTGCATTTGAAGTCTATATCTTTGTGTACCTTATCTTATTGAAGAAGTATTGCGGTATGAACTTGCATGCATTCTCTTGTTCTTGCTACAGATCTAGAATATTTGTTGATGCCTTTAAGATTTCCCAGCACAAATAACTTGGAGGATTTCGTCTCTTTTCAAAGGAGAATACACAATGATCACTATAAGGCTGCAGTGAAACATTTACGGGGTGCTGTTCATTCTTCTCCACCTGCTATTGAGGCTTTACTTCCTTTAATACAGGCAAGCAACATTTTCTGGCATTTCTAGTTTGTGTCAAAGGAACTTCCCTGATTTTTTAAGTGTTGGAACTCAGTCATGGTTACACCTTCTCAATTCGCCAGATGCTGCTGCTCGGTGATCAAGTCAAGGAGGCTATAGAAGAGGTGGAAAGTGTTGTTCAAATTTCTGATGCGGCACTTCCTTTTAGGTGATCTTTCTTAATATCTCTTTGTGGGATTCAAGACTTCTATTACATTTGTTTCTGAGGATGCAAAGATGTGAAGAAAACAGTAATTGTGTTGTTTTGGGTAAAAAATTGATTATAGATGTGAAGAAAACAGTAATGTTGTTTTGGGTGAAGAATTGATGATACTGTTTGCTTCTAAACCTAGAATAGTGATGTACAAAATTTAAGTTCACATGGGACGGTTGGCTTTTTCAGGTCTTAAGGTAGATGGGTAATTCTGCAATGTGTTTGGTAGGCGGGACGGGACAGGACAGAGCAAAACTTGTTGGCTGTTGCCCCATGTTTGGTGTGGCATTAGACTGGGGAGGGATGGGACTGAGTTGGACAAAAATGCCACCAAATTAGGTGAAACAAAATTAGGAGATGGGACGTGATGGGTAAATTACTAAACTACGCATGTCAAATTAAAACCCTAAAACCTTGCGCAATTCTTTCACCCTCGTACCTCTCTTGCCAGTCTGGTCCCATCCACTCCTGTCCATTTCCATTCTGCATACCAAGTGCACCTCAAAAGGGGTATGACTTAACATATTGGACAAAAGTCTGTCGGTGTGAGGAGGGGCTTGTTATTTGCACTCTAGCAATTAAACCAGCGGTAGTCCATGTCAATTTGTGGACTGTGTAATGGAGACTACAACTCCATTCCGACTTTTTCACCAGATTCTTTGTTGTGTCGTTTGCGAGTTTGTAATCGTCAATGTTAAGGTTTCAAGCATCATAGTTGGTTAATCATTTCTATAAAAGATTTAGCTTTTTGTTGATTATATAATCTATTGGTGAAGGTTAAAAGCTAGTCTTCTTGACCACTTTTCCCATGAGGATGAGATCAAACTGTGCAACTGCTTTGAGGACACGTTAAGAAAGGATCCAACTTGTAGCCATTCAGTCGCAAAGCTAATCAGCTTGCATCATGATGGTAGGTTATTATCTTGAACCCTCCACATTTTACTGGTTTTATGCTTTCCTTGCATAGTGTATTGTTGAATATTTAATGGATCAAGTATCTTTGACACTTGGCATTTAAAGTTATGCGTACTTTAGCATTTTAATCAATAATTATTACAAACGACACCAACCTGGTAGCTTGTGCCGAGGTTTTGTGTTGCCTTATTTGTTCATGACAGTATTCGTTTCCACATGGTACATGAGTGTACATCTATTTCAAACTCATTGTGTCCAACAACAAAATAACGTTAATTTTCTTGGAGTCTTTTTGTCCAATTTAGTACAATCGTAAGTTTTACAACAAAAAGGTCTTTTGCAAAGTTATGTAGACGGGAGGAAGAGAACTGGAGAGGTAAGATGATAGGGGATAGGGTTAGTGAGTGCCTGAGTGGTTAGTTAGGTTACCAGAACCCTAAGGGGCTGTTTGGTTGGTTTTCCATTAAGTCCTGTATGGACAAAGCTGTTTGTGTGGATTAATCTGTCCATATAGATTGGGAAGGTTTTTTCATAGATGGAAGGAGCGTGCTTTTTACTCGGAAGGGGCAGGTTTGCAAAAAACTTGGCTTTTTGCATAAAGCTCCCTCCTAGAAGCTTACTGAATAAGCCATTTTCTATATCATTAAGCCACTATCAACCAGTCATGTATAAATAGCTGACCGAATAAGCTGCGAGTCTCATTAAGCTCATTTAGCTGCTAACAAACAGTCTCTAAGTTAGACTAGCTCTATTATATTGTTGTTGCTTTACTCATATCTGGCTCTCTTTTTCTGTTTGTATTGCTATTGCTTACTCATATCTAGCTTTTCAAATCTTAGCATATTGGTTTTTTTTCACTTTCACACACTTCTCACTAGCTGGGGGTATTTTTGGAAACAACCACTCTTCTCTTTAGGGTAGAGGCCTGGTTTATTTACCGCTTCCCCCTTCTCACAAAACCTCCGGGTGGGATATACTGGACTTGTTGGGTTTGGTTTGGTTTTCAAGTGCTTTTCTGGCATTTGATTTATGGTTCCTAATTTATAATTTGTTCCCTTGTCTGCATTGGATAATCTTTCAGGATATTACAGTACGGAAAAATTGGTAGAAATGATTGGTTTGCATTTAGATGGTACATACGCAGAGTGTCATATATGGAAAGAGTTTGCTTATTGCTTCATAAGGCTTTCCCAGTGTGATGAAGACAGAATGTCGAGTTGTGTGGACAGCTATGGTAATGGTTACAGAAAGCATACAAAAATTGCTCTTGATATGTTTAAAGATGCCGTATCAAGAAAGAACTGGAGATTACGTTGCCGATGGTGGCGGACACGCCATTTCACCCAAACAATTCTTGCATCAGAAGTTGCTGCAGGTAGGTTTTCGTTTGTTCGTCTTTTTTAAAAGTATGTATATCTCATGAATTATTCAAGATTTCGAGGAGGTTCAAAATGACTTCTTGATGGAAATGTTATTTGGCCCAAAATGAAATGGTCATTCTGGACTGGGGATAATTTCAAATGAGAATTAGAGAACCTGGGAACCAAATATCCATGATGAATGTCGTGACGGCTATTCATGATGCAAATGACGATATCATGAATTATAAAGACAAAATAATCCACAAAGACAACTTTATCCATACAGGGATTAACGGAAAACCAACCAAACAGGACAAAGTATATGAAATAGTTGGTTCTCAAAGTATTTGTGGTTTTCATTTGAGCAAATATTTATGTAGTTTTTTTCTGCTGGTAACAGGGAAAATGGAGCTTGTAAGTTACAAAGCGGCGTCTGCATGCCATCTTTATGGTCCGGAATTCGCGTATGTCGTAAAGGCTTGTACACACTTAGAAAAAGAGAAGAAGAGAGAAGAGATGTCAACCTTGAAGATGCATATGGATAATGCTATTGGATTTTACACCACATACTCTTAGGAGGTTTCTACTAAGCATGTATTATTCTGGCTGCTGATAGTTGGCCTTTTTCATATGCATTTATCTCAAAATTTTGGTCAAATACTGCACTTTAGTTAAGAGTAAATAACCCATTTCATCTTCTATATGGTCCTTGGGAGTGTATATATATATTTGGGCCACAACCATTTCTTTATGTAGTGCACACTGCATAAGTTAGCGTAGGAGATGTAGTGGAAATATCATCTTGGATTCAATTTCATTTCACGTGTTGCCAGAATTTGTGGTCATGGAAGTTCACCCGCAAATCTATGACTCTAGATCCATGGACGAACCCAATGTAGCGCATACAATGGTTGTGTCACCAACCGTAGCCTTCTTGCCCTAACCTAAGTCCTTCTTGCCCTAACCTAAGTCCAGGAACGGATCCTTTTGCCTGGAATGACTGAGGTCAAATGACACATTAGGGAAGACGGAGGAGCAGGCAAGAAGAGCAAATATAGTGAAGGTATCCTCATGGGCCAAACAAAAAGAGGTTTAGCCCTGACGTCAAATTAATGCATTGATTCAAGGCGCCTTTGAGGCTAAAAAGACCCTTGCCTATACATGTAAGCTTAGCGGGTAAAAGAGACCCGCTAGACACCATTTTCCTTACCGTAAGATAACTCGTTGCAATCCATTTCCGAAGTCTTCATATGCTCTTCAGATAGCTCCATCGAATTGTGATAGCTGCTAGTCCACCTATTTGTATTGGAACTATCCTACCTCCCCAGAACTCAGATATTTGATATTTAATGTAAATAATTTTTTTAATAAATATTTAATTCTTTTTATTGTATAAACATTTTACTTGATAACAAGTTTTCAGCCTACAAAATACCAGTTCATATCACTACGACATTATTCTATATAATCATAATTATAATACAACTTGATCTTGTCATTCATGTCTTTAATTGTATAAGAATTGAATCTTTGTTACATTAAAACATGGAAAAAAAAATCCAATGTTACAAGAAATATAATATTAATGAAAAGGTTTTTGGCTTAGCGGTATCATTGTCTTTAACCTCTCAGGAGGAAGGGTTCAAACCTCATCAAATGTGAGAAGGATGTGTGAGTTTATTTGTTGCATTTGTCGTGTGTGTATATATATATATATAGGTGGAGGTTCAAACGAGAACCCCTGTGATTTACAAAAACTCGAGAACAACTCAATAACCACAAACTTTTTTAATTAATAAATTAACTTTTATTATATATAAATAATTTAATAAGGGCAGTAATGTAATTAAGTAATTTTTATAATTTTTATTTTATTTTAATTAACCATGTTTATCTTCA